TAGGTTGCTCAATGTGCTGATGTGTGGTGTCTGCTGCTAATCCAGAGAGAAAAGCTCCCTCGGAGATTCTGTCAGCAGAGTGTTTCCACATAACACACCTAGAATGACCTGGCTTTTGTGTTTTTAATGCTTAGCCCTAGCAGGAAGAACTTTTTTTTCCATCCAGCTTCCCTGTAGGAGCTTTGGAATTACAAAACCTGTTTCCAAGAAACAAAGATGCAAAAAGAGCCATCAAAATTTTCTTAAGATGAAAATGTTTGCATAAAATTCTATTTTCTTTTTATGTAAATAAATAAGAAATTTACCAATACCTGATATACCAATATAGTTGACTAGGGGTGTGCAATCTCAGGTATGTCACAATTCAATTCAATTCAATTTCAATGCTGGGTCCTTTGATTTGTTTATTAAAGGTTTATCATGGTTACCACGGTTACCACTTATTTAAATGCATTTTGTCACTGTTTAGTTTTTTTCTCACATCAGAGCTTTTTGATACTTTCAGCTTAATTCAGCACACATTAATTCAAGTTACCAGCAATATGTACCTGTTGTACTTATTGTTTTCAGTCAAAATTAAAATGTGTTGCAGCGCCAATGCGTTACTCTGTTTTGTTCCTATTGTGAGTTGGGTTAAGAATGAAGTGCATTAAAACATGTGAGGACCAAGCAACAACCATAGGTTCTCCCCTGAGTACCAACCCAAAAATATTATGTGCACCCCTGCTTATGGAAAATCTACATAAAGCATGTGACCTTTAGGAGACTGGGGCTAGTTTAAAAACCACACCAGACTAGCGGTTAGCTTCTCTTTTGTGAAGGGTGTGAACTATTTCTTCAAACAGAGGCTGTTGAGCAAGCTATCAAAAATAGCTAAGAAAGTAATTTTGTTTTAGGCTTTGTTTTACACCAAAAAATGGTTGAGAAATCTCTAAAAGTCTTCAAGGACAAACCTTCAAATTAAAACTTTACATCTGACTGGTAATTAAATAGTTTTAGTCTGTAGCACTTTCAGAGAATTTCTTGTCTCTGATGAACTTGAAAAAAAGAGTTAAAGTTTAAAGTTAAAGTCCCATCAGTTGTCTCACACTGATGTGTGTGCGAAAGTTGTTATCCACATTTGACCCATCCCCTGGGGGAGCGGTGAGCTGCAGACACAGCCACGCTCGGGAACCATTTGGTGGTTTAACCCCCCAATCCAACCCCTTAATGATGAGTGTCAAGCAGGGAGGCATTGGGTCCCATTTTTTCAAGGTCTTCGGTACGACCCGACCAGGAATCGAACCCCTGATCTCCCAGTCTCAGGGGGACACTCTACCATAGGCCACTGAGCTGGTCACACAAAAGAAGCTAACAGCTAGTCTGGTTGTCTCACACACACACACACACACACACACACACACACACACACACACACACACACACACACACACACACACACACACACACACACACACACACGCACACGCACACACATTATTTCACCATTATTTCTGAGGTTGAGGCAAAGACTTAATCCTTATTTCCTGCAGACTCAGCCATCATCTTGTGTAAATCGAATGTTTCGTTAAGAAACTTAAGCACACAGACTCATACAGGACGGTGGTGAATCATCTGAATTGAGCAATCTGATGGGCTCCTGTCTCCATGAGTTCTGTTCCGACAGATTAGAGCAGAGGTGTCAGAAAATAATGTTCTGACCAAGAATATAAAGTGAACAGAATCTAATGAAACACCTCTGGGAGATTCTAAAGAGAAGCAAAGGCACATTTCCTTCCAGAAATGCACGTAACATTAAAGCACATTTCATTGGAAAGTAATGACTTATTTAAAGAGCAAGTCAACCCCTACCAGAGTCTAACTCCACTCCCGCTTCATGTTTGAAAAATGCAACACATGCTGTTGCCTGGCAGACCGAGAGGGCGGAGCCGCTAACAAATACACACACACTCAGGCTCACGACAGCATTGTGACATCATAATGTACCAGTTTACATCATAGCATACTTCTTAGCCAATAGCGGTGGCAGATTTAAATTAAAATACAGTGCAGAGTTTTTACCTGACAACGGCACAACACTGCCAGTTTTAGGCAGAATTTTTAAATTTTAACTAAGATGCACTGAAGTGCCAAATTATTGACGACACGTGTCTGCAGCACGATTAGACACTCGTTTATTTAGTTTATCGGCAAAAAAAAGTTTATTTGGGGGTGACTTGCTCTTTAAATTACAATCACATGAACTGATTACCTACCAGGGCATCTTTAATTTGAAAAACAAACCTGTTGATTTTATTATGGTCCTTTCAGATCATGGAAGGTGTAACTGTGGTTTCTGTCAGTGTGATGCCGGTTGGACAGGGGACAGCTGTGACTGCTCCACTCGAACGGACACCTGCATGTCCAGCATCGGCCTGCTGTGCAGCGGCAGAGGGAACTGTGAGTGTGGTGTCTGTCAGTGCACTCAGCCCGGTGCCTACGGGTCTACCTGTGAGAAATGCCCCACCTGTCCAGATTCCTGCACTATCAAAAAGTAAGTTCATCTGTTAAGATTTAGATCCTCAAAATAGGGCAAAAATATCTCCAACAAAGCCTGAACAGTTTGTTTCCATTTTCTCCAAAGCTTTTCTTGCTGCTTAAATGTCTAAATGCAAATGTGTATACTAGTAGATACTGTAATATGACCAATGTGCAGTATAGTACAGGGTACTTGAAGACATTGTAGACCAAAAACAGCTCAACATCCTTTAACTCATTCACTGCCATTGACGACTAAAGTCGTCATTTTAGATCCAACCGTTCACTGCCAATGACGACTAAAGATCGTTATTTCCTCACACTCAATGCCATAAGTCAGCACAAGGTCCAATGTATGAAGGCAGGAGTGGGTGGAGCTATGTATTCTTTGAGTAAAACCAATTGAGTCTAAGATATTACTAAAGGCTACAATGAGGCTATCATTTTCAATGTCCACATGAATGTTAAAATCCCCCACTACAATGACCTTATCAGTATTTATCACCAAATCAGATTAAAAATCAGAGATCTGATCCAAAAACTCAGAGCAAGGGCCTGGTGGACGATATAAAACTACAAACAAGAGTGGTTTTACAGTTTTGCAATCTGGATTAGGAAAACTAAGAATAAGATGTTCAAACGAACTGTAACTATTTATCTGTAAGGGACTGATTAATAAGTCCGAATGAAAAATGGTTGCTACTCCTCCTCCTCGCCCTGTACTTCAAGCAATATGATGATTTAAATAATTTGAAGGAGTCGACTCGTTTAAGCTAACATAGTCCTCTTGCTGCAGCCAGGATTCTGTGAGAGAGAGCAAAGAGACCTCATTATCACAAATCAAGTCATTAACTAACAAAGTCTTAGAAAAAATAGATCTAATGTTCAATAACCCAAATTTAATTTTTCTAGTTTTCTGCTCAGTTGAATTTGTTCTAATATTTATGAGATTTCCATGATTTGCTTTATTAAGCCTGATATTTAATCTGTGTGATTTTGGCCGTGGGCAGGACACTGTCTCTATGGGGTAGTGGGTGGGTAACAGTACAGAAGCTGCAGAGGGGTGGGTTAAACTACGACTCTGCTTCCTGGTCTGGACCCTGGGTTGTCATGGAGGACTAATAAAACTGGCCATGTTCCTAGAAAGAAGAGCTGCCCCATCCAAAGAGGGATGGATGCCATCTCTCCGCATCAGACCAGGTTTTCCCCAAAAAGTTTTCCAATTATCAATGTAGCCCACGTTGTTTTCAGGACACCACCTAGACAACCAGCGGTTGAAGGACAGCATGCGGCTAAACATGTCGTCACTGGTCCGATCAGGCAGGGGGCCAGAGAAAATTATGGAGTCCAACATTGTTTTGGCAAACTTACACACTGAAGCAACATTAATTTTAGTGACCTCCGACTGGCGTAATGGGGTGTCGTTACCGCCAGCGTGAATAACAATCTTACTGTATTTACGCTTATCCTTAGCCAGCAGTTTCAGATAAGATTTAATGTCGCCCGCTCTGGCCCCAGGTAAACATTTAACTATGGTTGCTGGAGTCTCTAATGCCACGTTTCTGACTATGGAGCTGCCAATGATCAGAGTCGGCTTGTCAGTGGGTGCGTCACTGAGTGGGGAAAATCTGTTAGAAACGTGAACGGGTTGGTGGTGGCCCACGGTCTGAGTTCTATGCTTCCTGCATACCGTCACCCAGCCGGCCTGAGGTCCGCAGTCACACCAAAAGAAATACCATATGATGAATTCATTGTAGCAACAGAACTAGCATGACAACAGATCACAGATGAGGGAAAGAAAGCAGAACTCAGAAATAATGTAGTTGGGAAATTAAAAAACAGCCAAATTCAACACAGCAATATTACAAAAGAACAATCAGCCATGACAGCTTTATCCAAAAATGAACAGATAATTATTCTACCGGCAGACAAAGGAAGAACCACAGTAGTTATGGACATAGAAAAATATAAACAACAGATGAAACAGATGCTAGAGGACAAAAATACATACAAAATACTTAAAAAAGATCCAACAGAAAACATTAAGAAAAACATGAAAAAATTACTGAAGCCACTACAACAAAAAGGCAAAATACCAGAAAAAATGTACAAACACTGGATTCCTACAGCAAACATAACACCAAGAATATATGGAACGCCAAAAATACACAAACAAAACACCACTTAGACCAATAGTAGACAGCATAGGTACACCAACATACAACATGGCAAAAGATATCAGCAAAATCATCAGCCCGTTATTAGGAAACACAGATCAACACTGCAAAATAGTATAGAACTGGCAAAAGAACTAAAGGAGATTACAATAAAAGATAACGACATACTCATCTCACATGACGTCACATCCCTGTTCACAAACACACCAACCCAAAAAACCATAGACATAGTAGTTAACAGAATCAGACAGGACAAGACTTTACACAAAAGAACAAACCTCACAGCAGATGACATAGCACAACTGATAGGACTGGTAGCTAACTCCACTTACTTCACATACGATAACACAATATACAAACAACTGGAAGGCGTCGCCATGGGTAACCCGTTATCAGCCACCCTGTACGAGTTTTTCATAGAAGACCTAGAGCAAAAAGCCGTAGCCACTGCACCCCCAAACTGCAAAATAAAACTATGGAAACGCTACGTAGACGACATACTGGAAACCATACCAAAAGGACAGACAGAAACACTAACATAACACTTGAATAACATTGACGACACAGGCAGCATAAAGTTCACTTATGAGTCAGAAACAGAAGACAGTATAGCATTTATGGACATGAAAATAAGCAGGCAGACCGACGGGACCCTAAACATAAACACATACAGGAAGCCAACACATACCAACCTCTGTATATTTTATATCTCTTATTTTATTGTTTACTTTATTCATTTGTTAAATATGTATATACGCATTATACACACACTCACATGCACACACGTAGAAAAATAAAATACTTAGCACACACATTTAGGAATGTTATATACCTTACATACTACATACATTATTCCTTAGATTAGCCATTTTTATATTTTGCTTGTTTTTACGTTATTGTATTTTGCACAACTGTTGCTGTGAAACTCACACACAAGAATTTCACTCTCATGTACTGTACCAGTGTACCTGCACATGTGACGTGACAATAAAAGTGATTTGATTTGATTTGAACCCACACAGACAATATCTATTATGGACATCAGAACACCCCACCATACACAAAATGTCAGTAATCAGAACATTATATCACCGAACAAACATAATAACAGAAGAAAGAGACCGTTAACAAGAGGACAAACACATACAACACGCTTTAAAGACCTGCGGATACCCGGCATGGGCAATAAACAAAGGAAAACAACAAACAACAAAAGAAAGAAAAGAACAACCAAAGCAAAGAACCAGAAACCCAGAAAGACAAGAACCAAAACCAGTGATAACCCTACCATAAATCAGAGGTATAACAGAAAAAATAAGAGCAACAATGAAAAAACACAACATAAACACACCAACAAAACCATACACAACAGTTAGAAACAGATTAGTGCACCCAAAAGACAAAATACCAGCTAGACTTAAATGTGGAGTCGTTTACGAAATCCCATGCAAACTCTGCTATAAAACATACATAGGAGAATCCGGACGCCAACTCAACACATGAACAATAGAACATAGAAAGGAGTGTGAGGAAGAAACAAGTCAAAGACACACGAGAGCAGCAAAAGAAGAAGCAGAAAGCACAATAAAGAAGTCAGCCGTAACAGATCAATGCACAAGAGAAAACCATGTAATGCACTGGGACAACACAAGGATCATAAACACCGAACAACAAAAATACAAAAGATGGATAAAAGAAGCTATCGAGATAAGGAGATATGGATGTGGGACCATGAACAGGGACAATGGAGTTTACACATTGGACCGCGCATGGGACTGCATCGTCGGAGAGGGGAGAGCGGGCAGCAGAGGGCGGCAACGTCCTCTGCTGCCCGCAGATAAACGGAGAAGGAAGTGACGCCACCATCAGCGTCAGCCTGAGGAAGTTTGCAGCCGCAAACGAAACGTAGCGGGAAAACAGGTAAACAAAACTGCTCTGCGTTTTAAAAAAGAACTACAGCATGGAATTAGAGATACGACACAGCAAGAACACACCTAAGCTACTCTACTCCAGTTGGTGACAGTAATGCACTAAGCAGTGGTTTGCTAACCACCACAAAACAGCTTGAAGAAGAAGAAGAAGAAATTGTGTGGAGCTTACACATTTGCTAGAATAAAAAAAGAATGATTTTATGAGAGGTGTACCCCCCCCCCCCCCCCCCAAAAAAAAGAAAAGAAGAAAGCATAGCCATAGGTGACACTTAAGCATAAATAGGTGTCCCACCTTGGCCACCCCATTTTAAAAATCCTGGACACGCCACTGAATACATCATATTACTAACTTTTTTAGAATCAGACGTGAGGTAATTTCTTTCAGATGATCAGAGGACAGGTAATTTTGTCCTCATTAGGCCTGACGACATGATAGTACAAGCTACAGAAAATCACATCTCACCCTTCTGTCACACAGATTCTAATGAAGTCAGAAGTTCTAACGGGAACACAGCCTGAGCAGCAAGAAAATGCCAGAACCACCTGTTTGAGGTTGTGTTGTTTCTTTTGCAGGGAGTGTGTGGAGTGTCAGCACTTCAAGAGAGGACGGTACACTACAGACGACAGCTGCAATAGAATCTGCAAAAATGAAATACGAGTGGTGGATGAGCTTGGTGAGAGCTCCTCTGTTATGACAGCGCTCAGCCGTAGTCATTCTCCTGATTGTGCATTTTTAAAAGCTGTTTCATCCAGCAGAAGCAATCTGTTTTCGAGAAACTCGTGGGGAATGAGTGAAAACCCTTTCCACCACAACTGTGATTTACAGCAGATTGTAAAGTATGGACAAAAGTTTGTTTTCTACTCCTTTAACAGCTCAAACATCAGCTGTTTCATAGCAGTTGAAGCAAACACTAATTTATGAATCCTTACATCACCGATAGTGTTAAGTCACAGCGCTTAAACTAAATTCTGTGTTTGCTCCACAAACAGCAGAACCAAAAGTCAGAGCAGTGGTTCTCAACAGGCGTCTCGCTAGCCTCCTCTTTCTGGCCCCCGGACCAGACCTTTCACTCACTTACAATGTAAACAGGAGGATGATAAATAACTGTCATGTGAGCTCACTGGTTCGGTCATCTGTCTGAAGTTTTTTTTAACAGCGTACCACAACCGATACCTCACTTGTTTCTTTACATCGATTATGATCATATAAACCTGACTGATCGATGACCAATTTAGCCAGTAACCACTCACTACTGATCAACACTTATCATGTGTACTGTGCGTAAAAGGTATTAAAACATTCACGTGAACTTCTTTAATATTTTTTCAGATCAGAGTTGTTCCAAGATGGCAGCAACCCTAGCCGTTAGCTCATCAATCTAGACAAACTATTTCTCCCATACCATACCATACCATACTATACCATACCATAGTTTATTCATATAGCACGTTTAAAACGCAGCATGGGAGCTGCCCAAAGTGCTGCACAGGCTAAAACAAAAGGTGACCATTCCAAGAAACTAAAACAGGAGATAAAAATACCAGTCAAAACCAGATAAAACATGATGAATACCAAGAACACATTAAAACAATGACACAATAAAACACTGAAACGAGTCACTGTCTAAAAGCCAAATCGTAGAAGTGGGTCTTTAAACGAGATTTAAAAACTGCCAGTGATGGAGCCTGCCCAACTCCAATGGGCAACGAGTTCCACAGCTTTGGGGCAGCATGCACAAATGCTCGTTCACCCATGATTTGTATCGCATCCGGGGCGTGCACAGCAGCAAAAAGTCAGCCGACCTCAACGTGTGCGTGGGTGCATATGGAGTGAGCAGGTCAGAGAGATAGGGAGGTGCCAGGTCATTAAGTGCTTTAAATACAAGTCAATAACTTAAACTGTACTCTGAAAATGACAGGGAGCCAGTGAAGATGTACTAGGACAGGGGTAATATGGCTACGTCGGTGTGTATTCGTCAAGAACCTGGCAGCAGCGTTCTGGACGACCTGCAGCTGATTCAGGGCAGAGACTGGAACACCAACGAGGAGGGCGTTTGCGTAGTCAAGGCGAGAGGTAATGAAGGCATGGATGACTGACTCCAAATGCCTCCGTTTCAGGATTTGTCTGAGGCGAGTCAGGCGGCGAAGCTGATAAAAGCAAGACCTCACTACGGAGTTTATCTGTGGGGTCATTGTGAGTCCAGCATCCAGCTTTACACCGAGACTTGACACACACTGTTTGGGGTTGAGGGTTAAAAGGTCACAAACAGGGTGAGAGCCATGGTGGTTGCGGGGGTCAAAAACAATAAACTCAGACTTCTTTTCATTTAACTTTAAGAAGTTGGATGCCTGCCAGCCCTTCACGTCATCTAAACATGCGGCCAATCACGAGCCCGCATTCTTCTCATCCATTTCTACATATAGTTGACAGTCATCAGCGTAAATGTGATAGCTCAGGCCGTGCTGATTCAGGATGTTGCCCAGAGGATTTTATTAAAACCTACAAATGTCACCTCCAGATAGTTCTTGTACCTGTCATCATCAGTTCCAGGTGGAAACATGCAGCAGTATAAAAAAGATTAATTTGGCCAAAGTGTTTTTCTGGCTGAAAATGATTGCAAGCTTTAAAAGAAGTGAATTGTTTCTCTTTTTCTGCTCCTTCTTACAGTTTTCCGTGCTAAAAATGCGATGAACTGCTCGTACAAAGATGAGAACGACTGCGTTGTGAACTTCCAGTACTATGAAGATGAAACTAGCAAATCCATCTTATTCGTGGTGAAAATTCCAGGTACTGCAGGACTATTACACTCGTGTTGATCATTAGAGCTGCCAGAGACAGAGCATCATCATTTAGACACATTAATAGTTGAGAACAACGTCTTCTTGAATGTTATTTGACTATTTTTGGTCCATCGCAGCAGAGGGGGAAAAAAGAGTTGTTAGTTGAAGAGCAATGAGATAAAAAGTAATCATTTGCCAGATAATTCAGAAATGTGAACCTGAATAGTAAATGCTGCGTGAGTGTTTTCCTCTCATTCTGACTCTACATATGATTTGACTCTCAGAGTGTCCTGAGGGGCCAGATATCTTATTAGTGCTTCTGGGGGTGGTTGGAGCCATTCTGCTACTGGGACTTGTTGGGCTACTCATCTGGAAGCTGATGGTCACCATCCACGATCGCAGAGAGTTCGCCAAGTTCGAGGAGGAGAAAGCCAAAGCCAAATGGGACACGGTGAGACACAAAACGTCCCCTCCAGGGATCTGCTTCGTTAAGTTGCACCGAATTAAACAGAATTACTTCTGTGCTTATTTTCCAGGCAAACAATCCTTTATATGTAGGAGCCACCTCCACCTTTACCAACGTAGCGTACCGAGGAAACTAACGACTAAAGGCAACGGGGAAGAACTCAGGGAACCAGATGGAATGTAGCAAAACGGATTCAAGATCTTCACACTGTTATGAGACCAGCTGCAGATCTAATCATTGTAAATACTGTTAAAAGAACGTGTTAATAAGTCACCGGCAGTTTTCTCTGAGGGTTTTGGTTTCCAGCCTTTGTCATCATTCACCCTTAATCGGGTTTACGTTTATAAAAAATCAGTGTCTCTGTTTTTCTGCTTATTTTAAGACACATCTACACAATTATTGTTATTTTCACTGATTGTGATTACTAATAATTGCAGCACCAGCTGAATAATTTTCTTTAGACTGCACAGCCATTTTTGGGAGTGACTGACTGTCAAAAAAAAAAAAAACATTGAACTTCTTTGCTGCACATTTGCTGCTGCAGGTTCATTTGTGATTTACATTTTCAGATTTTCACATGATTTGCTTTTGTGCTGGGTAGACTCTGAATTGTCCGTTTTATTTTGTATTCTTTATACTTTGGATTTTTTTTTTCAGTTTTTCATTGGACAGCATTATTTTACACCTTTTTTTCTTTTGTTTCATATTAATAATGTGGTTGGTTGTAAAGCTAATGGCTTTACTCTGCAAATGAAATATTGTTTTAAAGGTTTTTTTTTTCATCATTTGTACCTACAGTAAATCATAGAATATGGTCCGCCTCTAGGAGCAGGATTGGACACTTAGGACGTCTTGGGTGATATAAATGAAATATTGTACATTAAAGGTGCAGTTCACACATTTAATCAATACATTTGCAGTGGTCTCTAGGAATGAATGCCTAATAAGTTGTACTCCGTTACAAAAGGCCCCAGTGCACCTGTTTCAGGATCTAGAAGGTTGCTAGATCAGAGGAGAGCTTTAGACGACAGGATTTAGAGTACTTGCTGATATTTGGACATCTCACTTCTGATTGGCTAACAGAAATATGACTCTACGTGGACTCAGATTGCTCTGCAATGGTGATGTTTTATCTCCACAAATAAGTCAAGCCAACTTTATTTGTATAGCACTTTACAAAAACCGACCAAAGCGCTTCACAGAATTTCAAAACATTAAAAACACAACATAAACACTAAATCTTAAGAACAAACACTAAAAAGACTCTCATGCTAAGTTAAAGCCAAATCATAAAAATCAGTTTTCAAAAGAGATTTAAAACCAGACAGTGAAGAGGTCAACCTAATGCTCAAAGGCAGCGCATGACAAATAACACAAGCCTAGAGGAGTACTGCCGTGTTGTGGGGTTGCTAATGCTAACGGTTAGCTTCTATTAGCCGATACGTTCTCTGCTTGTTTTGCAGTCAGGGGAGCAATTTTCTGAATGCTAAACCAACAACATCCTTCCCTGTCACGAGTCAAGATGGCAGAGTCCATGAACATTAAGTGACAGTGTGATGTAGATTTTCTTTTATTGAAATGTATTTAAAGGATAACCCCTTGAGATTCAACAGCTCATTTTCAAGGGGGTCCTTATAAAAAGAAAGAAAGAAAAATCATAACAATGACGATACAGACAACAAACTTCAGGTTACCATATACAACACATAAAATCATACACTCAGACATTCATTCTGCTCTCTTTACCTATATTCCAAATACAATCCCTCAAGATGTATTGACGCAAAAAAAAAGTAAAAATAAGAATTCAGTTACAAAGAGTCAAATAAAAAACAGTGACATGTATTCTGTTGAAAAACATATATAGAAGCCTTAAAAGAATTAAAAGAGGTGACAGATCTAATTGTATTAGGTTACTTATTCCAGTCTGATGGTGCTTTAAATTAAAATGCCCGTTGACCAACTTCTTTATTAATTTTGGGAACATAAAAAAAATAAGTGTTCAATATGTCTTAAGCTAAAGGAAGAACTAAATGGGATTAAGTAAAGTTTCAAATAATAAGGATAATTTAAGAAATGGCATTTAAAAATAAACTGTAACCAATGAAAATGCTTTCTTGAGTTCAACGATAGCCAGTTTAAAGATTCATACATATGACAATGGTGGGGTTTGTATGGACACCTCAAAATAAATCTGCAAAGATTAAGAGGACGAAGATTTGTGTTAGGAGTGTTCTGATAAACTATATCAGCGTAGTCAAGAATTGGTAATATTAACTGAGTAATAATTCTTTGTCTGACCTGAAAAGTAAAACAATTGATAGAAGAGTATAGTATTAAGTCAGTATGAGATTTTCTTGACCACTAAGTCAATATGTGATCTAAATGACAATTGTAGGTCTAAAAGAAGTCCTAAATATTTAAACTCATTTACAGTTAACACTGGTGTGCCGTCTGTAAATGTAATCACATGTTCAGTTGGTAAAGAAGTTTGTTTTGTACTAAATAACATATAATAAGACTTACTTTTGTTTAAAAGAAGTTTATTATATGTAAACCAATTTTGAACTTGATCAAAGTCAGACTGTAATGAGCACTGAATATGAGAGGTATTATTACTAGAAAAATAAAGAACTGTATCATCCGCATATAAATGAATTTGAGAATTAGAGCATACCTGAGGCAGATTACTTATAAAAATGGAAAGCAATGGTGGCCCCAGAGATGAACCTTGTGGTATTCCTCTGATGACCATTGTAAAATCTGAGTAACTTCCCTGACAAAGAGCACACTGTTGTCTGTGGTGTAAGTATGAGTTAAACCAAAGTAAAGAGGTTCTTGAAAAACCAATAGCATGAAGTTTGTCTAAAAGAAGGTAATGGTCAACTAAGTCAAAGGCTTTAGTTAAATCAATAAATATAGCACCAGTTAACTTATTTGAATCAAAAGAAGATATAACATCATTACTAAATTTTAAAAGTGCACTTGTGGTAGAAACATCTGGGCAAAAGTCAGACTGAAAAGGAGATAGAATATTGAAATCATTAATATAATTAGATAATTGTTTAAAGATAAGTTTTTCTAATATTTTTACCACACTATTAATTATTGAAATTGGTCTATAATTATTAATGTCATGGTCACCATTTTTAAAAAGTGGGGTAATTCTAGTACGTTTCCAAGATACTGGAACATTACATGTTGTCAGTGATAAATTAAATAAATCTGAAAGAGGATATAGACGTCTGAAGCCATTTTCAAAAACTTGATTTGTAAACCATCTGGACCAGTGCTGCAATCAGAATTTAGATTATCAAGAACTTGTTGAGCTTCAATAGGACTAACAGGTCTAAAGAAGGAATTTTCACAAATAGGATTGAGAATGTCAAAGTTAATATTAGGATCTGTAAAATCTGAGGGTACAGGACCACATTTAGTAAAATGTTGATTAAATGTTTCAGCAATTTTAGAGGAGTCATTAACAATTTCATTATTTACTTGTATAAAGGTATTCTGTTTCCCAGGGGAAAAATTTGTTAAGTTATTAATTATTTTCCAAAATACTTTTGGATCCTTAAAATCTGCTGCTAAGCAGTCCTGAAAATAATTTGCTTTTGCATTTCGCGTTTCAGTTGTGCATGTATTCTTTAATTTCTTATACATAGCCCAATCTGAAGAGTCCCTTGTTAAACGATGTTTTTCCATGCATTATCTTGATTTTTAAATAAATTTATTAAATTACCATTTATCCATATAGATCTGTTGGACTTTCCAAATCCTGGAGTTTCACCGTCTATTTTCCATCAGAAGCTAATGCAAGAGATAGGTGTAGGAGACTATTTTCATGTTCAGTCTGCATGAAAAACTCAGAGTGGCCGATTATAAAGAGGAATGATAAATAAAAATGGGGTTTTCAGTGTTCCACACCTTTAAACTGTGTTATGCTGTATTTTTGCACTTTGCTCCAGATGAGACCTTTAATCTCTCTATCTGTCAACTACGAAAACACTCACTGGCAAAACTCTGAGATTTCACCTGACTTCAACATTTGTGCTTTCCTTTGTCTGATTTTTTTTAAATTATGAAGCACGAGATGTGGTTCTTTTTTTCCTGCAGAACGATTTACATTATTCACACGTAGAAAGTGTTACACACATTCTCACTGGAAAAAAAGCTGAAATATGTTAACTAAATTCTTCATATCATTAATTTCATTTTGGTTAGGCTTGGATGTATCTTGTCTTTTGACCACACACACCAATGAGCTTCAGATTTTGCATGCAGCACCTTTTGTGTTATAAATACATGTTGCGGTGATGAAGCCTCCTTCCTTTTTAAACATCACACCACTTTCAGCAGGTGCAATGTCAAGTGACGGGAAATTCAGCCACGTCACAATTATTTCTTATCACTGATGACTGAAATGTGAACAGTTGGTTGTTCAATTCAAACAAAATTGATGCCAATATGCAAGATATATTTAGTAAGGTATTAGCAGATGGGAGGGTTTGGGGTTGGAAGATATAAATCATATGCCTGCACAATCTTCTCTGCTTAAATTTCTCATTACGTGCCGCTATAGTAAAAATTACTCAAGTGTTTATCTCCCTCTCCAGTTCCCTTTAAGAATTGCATCACAAGAAAGGTTCAGGATGGTTCTAGAAGAGAAGATTCAATGTTTGCGAGAGAAGGAAAAAACAGCAGTTTATGAAAAAGAGAAAATTTACTCTTACTATTAATTTACAGTAAAAATAAAATGTGAGCTTTTTGTTTGGAAAAGTTTACTGAATAAATCGGTTTGTGAAAGTGTACTGATTCTAACTGCATTAAAAACATCCAATGACTAAACTTATAGTTGAAATACGAAATACATAGTTAAATATAATTACATTGTAAAATATAATAGTCAAAATAGCTGAAACATATTTAACATTTATTTAGCTTTAGCATTAATTTAGTTCGTTTCACTTAATCTATGGTGTTTTAAATATTTTTTGTTGTTCTTGTGAGGCTCCTAGGGATTTTTATATTGGCGCTGTTTAAAATATCGTTTCTTCTTCTTCTTCTTCTTCTTCTTTTTCCAGAATTTGTGCGAATTAAGTACAATATGAGCATTTTAAATCTCAGCCGCACGCTGACCACCTGGTTGATTAATTTAATCCATTTTCTGAAGCTATACTACTCGCTCAATATCACAACTTCAGGATTTTTCCCGATTGCTTCTGAACGCATCACTTTTGAAAGCCCGCCCCTTTTGACGTCAGGTAAGATCCATCATGGCGGCGCCCCGTACCGTGGACGGAGTGGAGGGAGGCTGCGGTGAAAGCGGTTCGGTTCTAGCCCTTTCATCCTCGGACACCAGACCCCGGTTCGGAACGCGTTTCCTTACCGACCCGCGACAGGTCTTCCAGCACAACGCATGGTCGGTACCGGAACCAGAACAGAGATGTTCATGTGGATCTCCTAATGGGACGCGATTAGCTTGGAGTTCCATCTGTTTCTTAATCAGAGCTGATAGTTTAAAACAAGCCTGTTAGTTAACCAGTAGCGCCAGCTTTAGTCACAAAGTAAATAATTTTCTAATTTTGTTTTGAGATTCACTATAAATTAGCGTAGCTGCTGTGCAAGGCCTATAGTAGAGAGTAATGAGCATTCAGTGCCATCTCATGAGATGAATCTGACAATCACACCATGGCAGGGGTTTTTCAAAGATGCTTGACATTCAACTGGGACCAGACTTTCTCCCTCCAAGCTAGGTCTTCTTAGCCTAGTGAACTAAACCAAATTCTTGCTTTGCAAAGTTTGAATAATACATTTATTTAGTCTGGCTTGCCAGGCTAGGTGTCTCCAGCATGCCCTGGGTTTTCCCCAAGATCTGCTCTCGTTTGGTCATGTCTGAAACACCTAGGGACGCATGAAGAAGGCATCCTTTCCAGATGTTTGATCTATATGTGGTTAATGGAAGAAATCTCCAGGAAAGATTTCTCTTTGGGAATCTGAGGACTGCAAGGCATGCCTCGTCACTGAAAACAGTGTTTTGGTGTCACCAGGGACAATGTGGAGTGGACTGATGAACAAGAAGAAGCTGCAAAGAAGAAAGTGTCAGAAAACAATCAGCCTCTACCTCCAGAAAAACAAGGTTTGAATTTGCCATACTTCACACTAATCTCACTACTTGCCATAAAAAGCGAGGGATGCAGAGCTCCGATCAGAAGAGCATCAGTGTTGGATGTGCACATTTTGTGTGAGAGTCTGAACATCTGTAGTTGCCGACAGAATTGGTTTATAGTCTGTTGAATGTTTACAAGGGATTTTATGTGCAAATTTAATATTTAAATTGTGCAAATTTCTGTTTTATCTGTCTTTCCAGAGGAATATGACAGCCTGGCCAGTGAATACTGGAATGAGTTTTACACGATACATGAGAATCGGTTCTTCAAAGACCGTCACTGGCTGTTTACAGAGTTCCCAGAGCTGGCTCCACATTGCAGCCTGAACCATGAATCGCATCCAAATGCCCGGGGCACAGATTGCAGCCAGAGGAGCAGTCTAGATGAAAAACAATGGCAGGAATCTGCTGCTTTGCCCCATGACAGCTGTGACTTTCCTGGTTCTTCTGCCACATATCGCATTTTGGAGGTTAGAGAATGTTACAAAAGCAAATCAAGCTAGCTGGGCAATATTTCATATTTTCAAAACCAGTTTTTGCAAAAAGTGAACATGAATGCTAAAAAGTTATAGGTTTTCTTTAGAAATGTGAACTTTGCTAAACGACTGTTCATTTGAGTTGGTGAAATTAGCCTTTTTTAATGGGTAACTATGTAGATTAGGACTCATCCAGCATCATACTTTAGCTTCATATTCATGCTAGATACAACACACTCCCACCCCCGCTCTGTCATACTATGACACCCCCCCCCCCCCCCCCCCCAGAAGATTACCTGCAGGGTGGGGCATAAAAGGTTATATTTATCCTAGCGAGGGCATCACAGCAAGTAACACTAAACAGTTTCTTACCTCTCTGCCCTACTGGTTGAATGTGGAAATACAACTATCGTAAACAACCCTGCAGCAGCCCGCTGTAGCTAGCGCTAACAAGCTAACACAAACAGGAGCCAGCTAATACTAACACAAAACAAAGTAAAGAAATCAATACTGTTGAGCAAAAAATATTGTTACTTAAAAGTCCAGTAGCAACAAAGCCAGGTCATCATCACAGGACTGCCAGCGTGGATTGTTTCACCTCCATCTGCTGTCGCACTTTATGTACAACACGCTTGATTCACCTGTTCAGCTTATCAAGTTCTGCAGAAACCTGTTGATCGCCTGCTGATTAAAATCAGGTGTGTTGAAGCAGGGAAAACACTAAAATGTGGGATAGCGGCCCTTGAGGACCAAAATTTGACATCTGTGGCTTAGAGTGTCAAAAACGGTTTTGAATAACTTTTAAGAAATTTTCAGCCAATTTAAGGTGTTTTTCTGTTTAAAAGGTCAAATATCTTAACTGTTATTTAGATTAAAGAACACCCATGGTTCAGAGAAAAATCATTTACATCCTTCACGACTGATGAGCTAACAGCTAGTCAGCACAACAAAGACGCACCTGAAATACTGCGGTCTTAAAACAGCTTCAGTCGCCAACGTTTCTCAACTATTTATGTTGTTCCAAACACCGGTGTGAATTTCACCGTTGGTTATTTACATCAAAGTCTGTGTTTATTTACAAGCATAAATATTCTAAGTAGCATATCCAGAGGTGAAGTTTGGCAGAAATGTCCTAATTTTCTAAGTGAAATAACAGATTTAAACTTGACAGCAGCAGGAATGGTAAAAATAAAAAAAAAAACAGCTATTGACCCTTTGCACCGACGTCACCTAATCACGTGGGTCCACCATGGTGGACGGCAAAAGCATGTAAACAGTGAGCGACACGATTACTAAACAAAGGGAAAAGTAGAGCCTGAAACTGTTTTTGCGATCAAAACAAGAACAAAACTCCTCCAGCATTCCTTCCACTAGTTCATGCCCAGTTCAGTTATCAGAAGAAGTAGCGCATCTAGCGGGGGCTCATAGAGAGCGGTATGCTAACTAGCTTACCAACGTTAGCTTACTTCTCTCTGCAGCTGTTCACCGATGTAAACATGTTGCTGACTTTGTCTAAATTCACCCCTCTGGATTTATAACTTTATGTTATAAACAGCGTTTCACTTCACACCAAAGCTGATTGTTAAATAGTCCGGATCCCTACCAGCTTCTGTTGCTGGTGGTGTTACCGGGTCCAGCTGCTGCTCTCACACCGGAATGAGAAGATCTCTGAACGCCGACGCTCATAAATAAATAAATAACGTCATTTTAACACACGTAATCATACATCGGAGCTTTAATATTGTTAATAATTGTCTCGCTTAACACTACAGTGGACGGAGCGCAGCCTCCGTGGTGAAATACCCGTCCATCAGGATTATCAATAACTAGTATAAACACATCACATGTATCCCTGTCCCCGTCTTCCTCGTGAAATAAATGAACGTTAATCTTACCCGGTAAAAACATGTTTGCTGCTAATCTGAGGCCTGCTAGTCCGCTTGATTGATGCTGCAGTTCATCTCCGTCCTCAGTCTCCATCAAAGTTATTAAAAAAACAAAACAAGTTGAGTTTACGTCCTCGTCTGTTAGTGCAGCCGACCACGCAGCAAGCTAGAACCATTTTACTGTCAAATCAGCTCAATAAAAGCCATAAAAGGCTACAAATTGGCTTGTTTTGACTAGCTTCACTGGTGTTTCTACGGGTGTCAACGATCTTTTTGCCGTCCATCATGGCGAAGGGGGCGGCCACATGAGTGGCGTGACGTCACGTGCAAAGGGTCAATATCAGACAAAAGGCTTTGAAGTTTAGGAGAATGGAATAGTTTAGCCCCCCCACCCCGACCCTACGTGGACAAGCAGGTTCAGAAAATGGATGGATGGATGGAATAGTTTAACAGCAGCAAATCAATCTCAAAACGGCTCCAATCTCTTACATTTATGTTTTTATGCTATTTAAATACCTTCACAAATCTTTTCATTTTTACATTATTTCACACTTGAGCTCTGATTAAAGCTGTTCTAGCAAATCTGCAAACAATCTAGGTTTTGAACACAAACATGGTCATGGAATACTCACCCCTCCCCTTGGGTATCTTCCCTGAAACACTTCTGCCAGAACCGTAAACCCGCAAAGCCGGATGAAATGAGAGTTGCCGTTTTCTAGCTCCAAACGTCTTTAGTCCTTGACTTTAAATGGTGATTTTCTTTTTGGGACTTTGTTAGTCTGTCCTGAATTTGAAGTGGTAGCAGCCGGCTGTTTCTTCTTCTCTGATGTTATTGAGCCGCCAACCTCCCACACCAGTGGTGTTCTGTTGCTAAATATGTGAGTGTGTGATGAATGGAGGAGCCAGGGAAATGTGGCGGTTTGGCGAGACCGACAACCGGATAGTCTGATGGTTGCTGTTGGTTCGAAACGTGTGATTGGTAAACGTTTTTAGACAAATGCAAGAGAACCACTTCATTATTTTTTTTATCTCCAAAATATATTTATAGCTATACTTTGTCAGAACGTTGTTAAGAGACGTGGGGGAAAGGGGTGTGAGCTAATTTGTTCATTAAATTTGCAAGTGCAGATTTAACAGCTGAATACAGGTCAGGGCTGGACAATAAATCGAAAATTTATCCTTATCGAAATTTCTGACTCATCAAGATAATTTTTCCCATGTCAATAAATTTGATCATAAAAAATGAAAAGATGCGTGTAGGTTGGCAACGTTCATCGTGTCCCTTTAAGAACCTGTACCACCTTGAGTCAGGTAAAAATGTGACTCAACATGATTCATGTGATAGCTCCATCTAGTGGACAACTTTTGTTTCTGCTTATACCTGTTGTCTATTTATTGTTATTGAGGTGAAATCCCCAATATATGTATCATGATAATGATTTAAGTCCATATCGCCCAGCCCGAGTACAGGTGAAACTCAAAACTTTGAATTTGCAAAAGTTAATTTATGTCAGTAAATCAAATGAATAGGTCTGTAATATATGATATAGATTTGTTACACACAAAGCCAGGTATTTCAAGTCTTTCTTTGTTACGCCGGGGACACACCGGCCGCGGAAGCGCTGCGAAAATGGGACCGCCTTCATTCGGTGCCCTTGTTAAGCTATTCTATAGACCACATGGGCCGCCGAAGCGCCGCGAATCGCCTCGCGCCGGCGCTCCAGCCCGCGCCGTGCAGCGATCATTTCGGCGTCTGCTCTATTTTATTCGCGAGCCGCGGGTGAATCACGTCAATTCTGGCAGGAAGTCAAACCTAGACATAAGAGGCAGGCCCGTAAAGTTAACAAAATAAAGCATTTCAAAATAAAATTCCGCAATAGTCAAATGTGTTCGTAATCAGACACTGCAGAAAAACCACACGAACACACACACACACATACACACACATCGAACTTGTGTGCGTGTGTGACCACGTGAAGGGGGGTGTGGTTTTGGGTGTCTTTTTTCCGGAGCAAACAGGACAGAGAGGCAGAAAGTCTGAGGCAAGCAGTTAAGATGGATGACTTTAAATGAATTATGGAAGTTGAGAAACACAAGGAGCTGTACGACCCCCCGAAAAACATGAATATTTATGTACCCATTTGGGAGGAAACTGCTAGGATATAGCTGCAGAATTGGAGCGGGTTCCAAGAGATTCAACTGGCAGAAACAACTCATACCATAGACATAGACATAGACACAGACACACACACACACACACACACACACACACTCAAACGTAGAGGAAAAGAGCTGAGAAAAGGCAGAGAGGAAATGGAGGACACCAAGTGTTTAAAAGAAAAACTACAGCTAAGCCGAGGCGCGCCTCGACTGGGGCGCATCTGATCTGAACTGAGGAGCGGCGAGCAGCGGCCGAATTCCATGAGCGATTCGCTTCTCGGCGCTTCTGCGGCCGGTGTGTCCCCGGCGTTATAATTATGATTTTGGCTTACAGCTTAGAATCTTGGATTATCAGAATAATGTGAAAAGGCTCAATATTCTAGACTCCGTGTTGCACCTTCATCAGCTAATGAATCTAAAACACCTACTAAGGCTTCCTGAGCCTTTAAATGGTCTCTCAGTCTAAGATGAATTACTGAATTAAATGGAATTTTGCACCCTATTCTAATTATTTTAGTTTATTCTGTAGACCGTTTCTGGTTTTGCTGTTGAAATTCCTGGAAAGGGTAATTACTTTAGGAAATGACGGAGTGAGAACGTCTAACACCAAAATGAGGTTCTGTGTGATCTGATCTGAACAGGTTGGCTGTGGTGTGGGGAACACAGTTTTCCCAATACTGAAGACCAACAAGTAAGGCCAACAGAATCCAGACTCATTAGTTAAAGAACCATTTTATCCTCTGGAGTCTGTAAATGCAGCTTTCCCTGTTGCAGTGACACAGGACTGTTCGTCTACTGCTGCGATTTCTCCAGCACTGCTGTGGAGTTGGTCAAGGTGAGAAGATGTTTGGAGCCACGAATGAACAGGCGACCTACAGGCCTGTGGGCTTACTAATGAGCTGAAAACTTCTCTCATCAGACTAATCCAGAGTACGACTCCCAGCGCTGCTTTGCCTTTGTGCATGACTTGAGTGATGCAGAAGCCAATTACCCCGTCCCCGATGGAAGCCTAGATGTTATAGTGTTAATCTTTGTGCTATCGGCTCTTCATCCGAGCAAGTAGGAGCAAGCGTTTCTTTACCTCCTTCCATCTTTTCACTTTTGTCTTAGCAGTCATAGACTGTGAAAGCATCATGTCTGTTTCAGGATGCTAACGTCCATCTGTAGATTGGCACGTCTGCTGAAACCAGGCGGGGTGATGCTGCTCAGGGATTATGGGCGCTATGACATGGCACAGTTACGTTTCAAAAAAGGTTAGTCCATCTCAGAAATCACTTGGAGCAGTTACAGAATTTAAACTCGTTTTTAAAGCTGCTTTAATGCTTCAGGAGCATTTAAAGAGAATTTATGGTTCAGTTATAATTTACTGATGGGTGTTGGTGAAGAAGAACTGCAACATTTAACAAAAATGATTCATTTCTTTCAGGAAGATGTCTTTCAGAGAACTTTTATGTCCGAGGCGATGGAACGCGAGTTTATTTTTTTACTCAGGGTAAAAAAAAAAAGGTTATAATCAGATTTGTATTTGCTATAAATCCACTCATCCATGAACTTCTTTTATATTTGTATTTCAGATGAGCTTCACGAGCTGTTTGTTGAGGCTGGCTTAGAAAAGGTGCAGAACCTTGTGGACAGACGGCTACAGGTGAACCGAGGGAAGCAGCTGACCATGTATAGGGTGTGGATCCAGTGCAAGTACCGCAAACCTTCATAAGACAAGAGGTGGAAGCAGAAATAAAAAAAAAAAATAAAACAAAGTGTTCTCTCTTCTTTTTTTTATTCTGAGAAGTTGTGGAACTCAGGACATTTTTGGCAACAGGATAACTTTTCTTTATCTCCGTTGCCCTGACATGTTCTGATGGAGCTGCAATCTTCAACATGAGGGCTGATCCTTTTTTTTTGGGGGGGGGGGGGGGGGGGGGGGTTGTAATCTGAAGAAAGGCTGGTAAAAATGTTTCTACTATGCCAGAAATTGTTTTTACTTGGCATATTTTTGAATAAATTGTATGTTTTTTGAATGCAATGACAATTTCATACTTAAAAAAAATAAATAAAATTAAAATAAAGGGCAATAAGCATGCTACTTGGTTTTTATTTGGTACTTCCATGCTGCCCTGAAAGGATAAGTGATCCTGTTTGCATGATTGCATTAGCTAAAACGTGTGAATGCAAAGTTTATTGCAGTGAGCGCAGCATGTGGGTGTGATCATCACCGGAGCTGCAACTTTTTAATTATCCATCACTTGTGGTTGGGGGTGGGCCCTGTTGTTGTGCGGAGAGGGATTTACGATTGGTCCAGACAACAGATTTTTGGGGCAGGCGTGGACCGAAGGAAGGTGAAATTACTTAAACGATCTCACGAGAAAAAATGAGATTTTACTGATTATTGTTTACATTGCAAAAACATGAGAACAGAACCGAACTGATCCGGATTCAGCTGAAACGCATTCGAGTCGGATTGTTTGTTTTTATTTTTTTATTTCCATCTCTTCTCTGCAGCTAGGAAGGGAACTGCAACCTAACTTCGTTTAATCGAGTTGTAAAACAGGGCGCTAAATTCATCACAGCTCCGGAGGATATAAATAAAGGGGGTAACTAACGTTAGCTGAAAGACATTTATACCTGCTGAAAAACGCAGATTCTCTTGGGTCGCCATTGTGTGGAGCGAGACACCACAGCAAGCCATTGCATGGTCCTCGGAAAGAAGAGGGATGTGACGGGGATCCCCGTCTAACCAGTACGGAAAGGCGGGTTAGGGAGACCCAGAGAGAGTGGCCGAGGCCTCCGACGGAATCGTCCGCCATCTACCTGAAGGCGTTTGTACTGGTCTTGGTCGTTAACAGTGAGCACGCGAGGGACGAGGCTGTGGATGCGGCCTAAACCTGGGAGGGTCTGCCGAACACCGGGGAAATAACAACGGAGACGGTTTCAGGATTAATAACCCCGGAGGACCGAGAAAATCTGAAACTACAGTGAGTATCTGTGTAGGTTGTCGAACAAAGAAAGAATGTGTTCTGAAAGGTGCTGCGAGTCCAGATGTCGTGGCACGAGCACCGAGAAGATGCTTCGCTAGCTTACTGGACACATTACCAGTTTTCGGACTGTGGTCATTTTTTCTTCCACGATTCAACGTAATGTAACATTCCCAGTCTTTTCAACATTGATACGCAGTTTTCTTCGGTTCCGTTGGCCTTTTTGCTATTATTTTTGGCAATATTATAGTTTAATGTCAGCAGCTAATCGTTAGCTAAGTGATGGCAAGCTTACTAGCTCATTTATCTAAGCGATCATTCTCTCGTTCTTGTGTTTTTAAACCTTTAGACTTGCATTTTAATGTGGTTTAAGACTGACTAGGGTTACACGTGAACTGTAGTTTAAAAAATAGTCCAGAGCAAATATATTACTGTTTGTTTGATAAACATAGACCATAGGCAAGAGACAAGCCAGTTTCTGGGCGTGTAATTTAAACCTTCGCACAGGCCAGTAAACTGGGCACTTATTGTCTTTTGTGGCCTTTTCCATAGCTGCCAGTATTTCTTGGCAGTCCCTGCATTCGTGACCTTTTATAGAAATACTATGTAACTTAGGTCTGTCATTGTCAAGGCAAGTGATGCCATGATTCACCAAGAAGCAGTGACTCTACAAATCTGTCTTTGATGCATATTAAACATGAGTTATATTCAACACATCTATTCTTACTGAGTAATCATTGTTGCATGTCTGGTGGGCTTAAATGATAGTGTAAAACATTGTCAAGCTTATTGATGACTCAGAACAGGAATTTTCCACATCCATATAGCTAAAAACAGCCATGACTCATCACAACCAATGCCTTTTGAAATGATGATCCCTCACTGTCATCTGGTTACTCCAGTCTCTTCCAACACCTTCCTTAATCTGCGCTCTTGTCTCTGCAGCCATGATGGAAGAACTGCACAGCCTGGACCCCCGACGGCAAGAACTGCTGGAGGCTCGCTTTACAGGGGTCGGTGTGGCTAAGGTTTGTATCAGCTCAGATGTTGCAGAGCAAGAAGCCTGATGTTTGGTGTGTGTGGAGTGTGATGGGGTGAAAAGTTCGATTAATCACACATTTAATTGATCAAGCACATAATTTTTTTCAAATGTTTTCTTCTTTTGTCTCATTATCTTTAATTCAGCCCCTACCAGTTTGGGCTGCCTCATTTTCTTTGTTTCTGCAGAAGGTTGAGGTGTGTGTGTGTGTGCGTGTGTGTTTTGGCTGATGTGACATGCCATCTCTCCCTGGCTTGTGATATAGCAGCTGTATAAGCAAGTGGTGATGCCTGCCAAAAAGGCCACAGACAGGACAGGGTTGGTAGTGGGATAAGAAGGAATGCGGAAATAGTTGCCAACCAGGTCTAAGTGGGGGCGGCATTTTTGTCTTCCAACCTTTGTCTCACTATGTGGATGGAGCTGTCTTAGTGGAAGGTGATCTTGGAACGGTTAGGGAGCCAGAGTTGGTGCCAGGAGTGGGCCCGGTGCCAGCCATAGGCAGAGCTAAGCCCAGAGCTTGGCATGGCTGCTGCCGCAGAGAAAATGGCGGAGCTTGTAAGGGCATCATCACCCGGTCTGACAAGAGATGCAACGCTTGTTTATGAGTGAAGTTTGTTAGCAAATGGATGTGTGGACACATGTTTGATCAAAGTGTTTCAGTGTCACAGAGTGGCTCAGTTTTTCTTTCTTGACCTCGGATAGCCTGCGGCTCTGCTGCTGCTCTCTGTCATCTCTCAGTTTAATAAGAAAAAAAAATTGTCATTTGAGGATAAGAGACAGAACACATTTGGATAAACCTACAAAGAATAGTTAAAAGTACGTTTCTGTTAGAACAAACGACCGGTGCATCTTTTGGTGACATTGGGTTTAATCCAAAGATTTAATTCTTTGATTTAAAAAAAGGCTTTTTCTCGCTGGTTTCTTCACGGATGAAAAGAACATTTCAGACCTGGGTGAATGGAGGAAAAATGTATGACATTATCTAAAGGTGACGGGGGAGTAATGCTTCCCCAGCAGCTTGCCTAATGTTCAGCCATTTTAGGAGGGTTCAGTGAGAGAGAGCTCCAGTGTGCTCAAAATGACTAAGTGTCTCTTCCTGATTGGACAGTGCATGCTGAATTCTGATGTGAATCATATGATTGACAGGCGTCACCTAGGGAACCGGCATTAGTACTGATGGAGGTCTACATTCAATGGGAGTTTAGTGGTGACTGGATTGCCGGAACCTCTCCATCTCTCTTTTGGCTTTTTTGTTGTTTTTACAGCATTTCTATGGATCTTTTGCTGCTTTTCAACGACCGCTTACAAGGAACACACACACACACACACACACCTTTTAGGGATTTTTGTAATTATATTTTTTATCTCAACAGGGCTCAGGTCAAAGTCAGAATGAGTCATCCAATCAAAGCCTGTGCAGTGTGGGCTCTCTCAGTGACAAAGAGCTAGAGGTTGGTGTTTTGGGGATATAAAGCATTTATTGTGTTGGTAATATTTTGGTTACCTCACTAGCATGTGATTGATCCTCACTGGTTTCCATACAGACTCCAGAGAAAAAGGCTAATGACCAGAGGGTGAGAAAACGCAAAGCAGACCACTTTGAGAGCAACCAAGGTACGACTGTCCCGCTGACCTGACACGTCCGTTTGCCTTTGTTGTATTCTCTTCTTTTTAAACTTGCTGTCTCTCTTTTTTATTTTTTTTACAGGCAAAACGGGAGCGAGGGGACTTAAAATTAGTGATTATTTTGAGGTGAGTGTAATAAAATCCTTCCTCTTTGCCCCTTTTGGTGTAGCACTCCTTCATTTCTTTATTTTGTAAAATTTCATACCTTCTCTAACCCCGTTTTGTTTTCTTAACTTTTATGTTCCGTCTTCTTCTTTTCATGTCTGTCAGTTTGCGGGAGGTAGCGGTCCTGGTACCAGCCCTGCCAGGGGAATTCCACCAGTGGTCCGCTCTTCCCCACAACACTCTCTGTCCAATCCTCCTGTCACGGTGAGCACGTTTGCTCTGCGGTGCTTTTCGTGCCTGTTTTCATTGGTCCTGCACTCTCTGCCTTGCCTTTCTCTCATCCAGACTTGGGAAGTTTGTTTGCTAGATCTGATGTTGTCTACTAACATGATCCGGAACCCACAAAGCCAGTATCTCGCAATTTAGAAAAAGGGGTTGTCTAAAATATATTGAAACATAGCAAGGGTTCCTGATGTCATGATACAGGTCCTTCTAAAAAAATTAGCATATTGTGATAAAGTTCATTTTGTACTGATAAACATTAGACATTCATGTATATTAGATTCATTACACACATCTGAAGTAGTCCAAACCTTTTATAGTTTCTAATATTGATGATTTTGACGTACAGCTCATGAAAACCCAAAATTCCTATCTCACAAATTAGCATATTTCATCCGACCAATAAAAGAAAAGTGTTTTTAATACAAAAAAAGTCAACCTTCAAATAATTATGTTCAGTTATGCACTCAGTACTTGGTCGGGAATCCTTTTGCAGAAATGACTGCTTCAATGCGGCGTGGCATGGAGGCAACCAGCCTGTGACTAGGGCTGGGCGATATGGCAAAAATAGAATATCACGATTTTTCCAATATTTTATCACAATTTTTTTATCCATGAATAGCATAACTTCAATTGCGTATTAAAGAAGAGAAACATTGAATAAATAAACATTTATTCATATTAGGGATAATCAGCACAGTGCTAACACACTTATATTTTAAACTCACACCAGAGATGATAAAAGCCCTGAGAGAAACGATTACAAAAATCAGTTTTTCTCGTTTTTCATGTAACTTAACATAAATTAAAATCGTAAACATATTTAAAGTGCGAACATGTCAATTGCAAACGTATTGTGCAAACATTAACTTGTTCAAAATACTATGTAGCTCCCAGTTGCTCATGTAGTGGATAGTTAAGCTCAAATAAGGCTCTGATGTGCGGCTGGACCAGAGATCGCTTGTGGTAGCAAAAAACTGAGCATTCTGAATATTTTCTACAACAAGTCTCTAAATAAAGTAAAAATTTCCAGTGCAGATTGGAGACAACCCATAGAAGCACTGATTTGATCTCATTTCAGAGAAAAATAGAACAGGTTAGATGCACCTAATAAATAAAATTACTAACAAACTCAGGAATCTTTCTTTGCTTCACTGTTCTGGTGCTGAAAATATCACTAATGCGGATCAAAGGAGATACACAGATGAATGCACCTCTTATTATTTGGAGACTACATTTACTGCAGCTGGCAGAGGCAGAGATTGTTTCTATTGATACACGGATTTAGAGAATCATTTTAAATGTTAATAGGGGAAGACTGCAGGAGGGAGCGGTAAAAACAAGAAACTACGAGTCTGATGAAACCCGCTGGTTTTCCATCAGGCAGTCACGGGGCAGCCAACGACCCAGTGACCGAGCTCAGTCCGGTACCGACACCGGCTCGGCAGAGGGTGGACGAGCCGAGGCGACGTCGCGCTCTGCTTAAGAAGCGGTGTTATTTTTCTGCTTCAGAAGAAGCGTCCAACGTGTTTTTACGCTTTCTCCGAGACATGTCACGTCACTAAGTTGTTAGCGCCGCGCGCTAAGGAAACCCTGCGTTCCTCTTCGGAACAAAAACCTCGTTGTCGCTCAGCCGCGGCGAAGCCATGTTTGTTCACACACAAGTGAAAACAAGCAGGGCACTAATATATTACTATGACTCACTCTGATTGGTTAAGGGTCAAACAAAGGCGTGTCATTCGCCTGAGGTAAGTTCCCTTTTCATTCAGTGGCAGAAATTCAACAGCAGAGCTGTGAATCGTGATAAAACGGTCTCTCAAAAATGACAGACCGTCAGATGTGTGGATCGTAAAACGGTCTAAAATCGTCATATCGCCCAGCCCTACCTGTGACACTGCTGAGGTGGTATGGAGGCCCAGGACGCTTCGATAGCGGCCTTAAGCTCATCCACCTCTACGGGGTTCAGGTCAGGAGAGTTGGCAGGCCAATTGAGCACAGTAATACCATGGTCAGTAAACCATTTACCAGTGGTTTTGGCACTGTGAGCAGGAGCCAGGTCGTGCTGAACAATGAAATCTTCATCTCCATAAAGCGTTTCAGCAGATGGAAGCATGAAGTGCTCCAAAATCTCCTGATAGCTAGCTGCATTGACCCTGCCCTTGATAAAACACAGTGGACCAACACCAGCAGCTGACATGGCACCCCAGACCATCACTGACTGCGGGTACTTGACACTGGACTTCAGGCATTTTGGCATTTCCATCTGCCCAGTCTTCCTCCAGACTCTGGCACCTTGATTTCCGAATGACATGCAAAAATTTGCTTTCATCCGAAAAAAGTACTTTGGACCACTGAGCAACAGTCCAGTGCTGCTTCTCTGTAGCCCAGGTCAGACGCTTCTGCCGCTGTTTCTGGTTAAAAGGTGGCTTGACCTGGGGAATGCGGCACCTGTAGCCCATTTCCTGCACACGCATGTACATGGTGGCTTTACTCAAGACTCAGTCCACTGCTTCTGCAGGTCCCCCAGGGTCTGGAATCGGTCCTTCTCCACAATCTCCCTCAGGGTCTGGTCACCTCTTCTCGTTGTGCAGCGTTTTCTGCCACACTTCTTCCTTCCCACAGACTTCACACTGAGGTGCGTTGATACAGCACTCTGGGAACAGCCTATTTGTTCAGAAATTTCTTTCGTGTCTTACCCTCTTGCTTGAGGGTGTCAGTGATGGCCTTCTGGACAGCAGTCAGGTTGGCAATCCTACTCATGATTGCGGTTTTGAGTAATGAACCAGGCTGGGAGTTTTTAAAAGCCTCAGGAATCTTTTGCAGGTGTTTAGAGTTAATTAGCTGAATCAGATGATTAGGTTAATAGCTCGTTTAGAGAACCTTTTCATTATATGCTAATTTTATGAGATAGGAATTTTGGGTTTTCATGAGCTGTATGCCAAAATCATCAGTATTAGAAACAATAAAAGGCTTGAACTACTTCAGTTGTGTGTAATGAATCTAATATATATGAAAGTCTAATGTTCATCAGTACATAACAGAAAATAATGAACTTCATCACAATATGCTAATATTTTTAGAAGGACCTGTATGAGCTGTACAGGTGAAACTCTAAAAATCTGAATATGATGCAAAAGTTAGTTTTTGTCAGTAATTCTACTTTAAAGGTGAAATCAACACGTGAGAGACTCATTACATGCAAAACCAGATATTTTAGCCTTTATTCATTATAATTGTGGTATAACTTATGAAAACCCCACATTTAAAATCTCAGACTGTTAGAATAAAAGGTTCAATATTCTAGACTCAAAGTGTCTCACTCTAATCAGCTAGTAAATCCAAAACACCTGCAAAGGGTTCATGAGCCTTTAGGTTGTCTCTCAGTCTAAGATGGATTTATGACATAAATGGACTTTTGCACCTCATTCTGATTCTTCCACCAACAACTAGGGTTGGGCATCGAGCATCGATTGGAACCGGTTCCAACTGTTCATTTTTCCCGGAATCGCTCAACGTTTTTTATTTCGATTCCTAGAATGCCGACAGAAGAGGAATCCGCGACCGATCTCCATGAAAAATAAACGTGATCTGCAAATTGTGATCAACGCTTTTCAGAGCTGATCACACCAGCTGTCTGTGTGCAGCACGAGTCCCCCCACCCGGCACGCAACGGCCAGATATAAACAAACGCGTCCGCCGAACTTTTACTCCGCGATGTAAACTTTAACTCCTGCAGCGTAGAGGAAACATGTTAAAATACGTCAACAAGGTGGATTTAATGGAAGCTTTAAAGAACAAACTCTGGACAGTGTGAGGTGAGTTTGTCTCACTGCAGAAATAAAAACACACACGGAGCGTCAGAAGGTTGAAGAATAACCTGTAGAATAATTAAAGTCATCATGCTAGAGCAGCTTCTTTGTGGTGGACCACACCAGCTTCTGCCACAATAAATAATGATAATAATAATAATAAATCTCAAAGCTGTGAACATTTCATTTCCTTTCTGAACTATTTCTGTTGAGTTTTAATGTTTAAAATCTGTTAGATTGTTACTGACAGCAGCTACGTTTAAGTTTCACTTCCTGTTCTGACTGAATGCTGCTGCAGCATGGAGGTGTAGTTCTCAGTCATCCTGGACGTGATCATCCTGAGAGTTTTAGCTGAAAACAGCTGGACGTTTCTGGATATGTTGGAGACATTTAGCCTCTCATCCCAGAGGCTTCTTCCAGACTTTGCTTGTGGTCAGAAACAAACACACTGGTTGTGCTGCAAGTCTTTCTATTTTTTTTCTCCAGAACATGTTTTTGTCTAAATGAAGGTGATGTTGTTGTTCATAGAGTTAAAATTCATGTTGAAGTAGGACCTGTGGTTAGCTGGCTCATGTAAAGCATGTCATGTCTTCAAAGAATCTGAATCGGGAATCGATGGGAACCGGAATCGAAACGAGGAATTGGAATCGGAATCGTTCAAAATCAAACGATGCCCAACCCTACCAACAACAGAGGCTTGCTCCGCTAAAAAGACAACGAAGGCAGCGTCCGAAGCGGAGTCCGCTGCGGCTCTTTCCTCTCTTCTAAACGACTTGAACGCGTCTTTAGAACCACAACACGTAGAAGCGCTAAAAGCCTTTCTTCTAAAGAAAGATGTTTGTGCCGTCGCCAGACGCCATTTTTGACTACAGCTAAAAGACTACTGCACCACGCAGTACAGTCGGCGTTTCCGTCTTTCTTCTGATTGGTTATTTTTGAGCTGCCTAGTCCCGCCCCTCAAGTGCCTCTCTGCCTGTGCGTAACCAGACTAGTTCTCTGTGGAATTAATCAGGACGAGTCTGGCAGGCCAGGCTAGAGATTCGCTGAACCAGCTATGTAATTCTATAACATCTCTCTGTGTAGTCGGACTACTGCTCAGATAGTTGTAGGGGTGTCATTGAATATCCGACACTCATTTATAAAAATAAAAATCACCTTTATTTATTTATTTTATTTTTACTTGATCCTGTTTGTATCTAGTTTATTTTTGTCCCACGCTTCTCTGTTTTGTTAAACTACTAGAAAATGTTCCCTTTAGGGCCATTAACAGTTTTTAATTAAGTAATGACTGTATCTACCCTCCAGGTGCAGCAAGGAAGTCCCTCTTCCCTCAGCTCGGCCAACACGGACCACTCGTCGTGTTCAGTGAAGCCAGCCTCTCTTCACTTGCTCCATAAAGCCACACAGGTACTCCACGCACATTCAGGCTTGGCTGCCCGTTTGTCTGATTAACTTAATTAGATTTTAAAACTGGTTGTTGTAGAAATGTCTGACAAGCCAAACAATTATAATAACAGTCTCTGGGAGAACTCCCTGCTGCACTAAGTTTGTTGGAAATTTTTCACCATTAACAACCACTCTTGTGCCCACTCTTTAGTCTGACCTTACTATTGAGAAACTAACAGCAATGGAGAACAACAAGAACTCTGACCTGGAGAAGAAGGAAGGCCGGATAGACGATCTGCTGCGGGTACTAATCTCATTACATTTCATCCCTGGCTCTCTGCCTACCTTGTTTCTGAGAATATCAGGTTGACTGTAATGATTTTCCACTCCACTAGCTACTGCTGTACACATTCATATATATATTATAACTTGTTTTTACCTGATCGTTTTCTGCTTTCGTCTCTGTTCTGCTTTAGGCAAATTGTGACCTCAGAAGACAAATCGATGAGCAGCAGAGGATGTTGGAACGATACAAAGAACGGTTAAATAAGTGTGTCACCATGTCCAAGAAGCTGCTGATTGAAAAAGTGCGTCCATCTTGCTGAGCTGAGGCAGCTTTTGACATGACATTCAGCGTGTGTGGGGGATTCCATAATGTCTCTCTCTGCTCCTCAGTCTAAACAGGAAAAGATGGCGTGCCGGGATAAAAGTATGCAGGATCGACTTCGACTGGGCCACTTTACCACCGTGAGACACGGAGCGTCTTTCACCGAGCAGTGGACGGATGGATATGCCTTCCAAAACCTCATCAAGTGAGGCTTTATGTGATGGAGCTTATCTTTTACGTCTTGACCGATTTGTCTTTTTCTTTAGGGGATTTTAGGGAACTCTGAGTCTGAGAGTCGAAGTTCAGAAACGAAAGAACCAAAATAAAACTTGATTTGAGTTTCTAGAAGCCAGATGCGTTACTAAGGCCCTGTGATTTTTGCAATGCTTAAAATGTGAACAGAATCACAGAGTGAGATGTTACTGGTGACAATCTGCTGGACTCAATATTATACAGAACAACAGGGTTACACTACATTTTATGTAATAAAACATGCAGGGAATTTTTCTATAGAGCTTTTTAATTTAAGAGGGTGGCCAGTTTCTCATGTGAGGTACTGGAGCACGTTCATCATTTTATTAGGACACTAAATGTGTTTTTGCTGCATTTAAATAGTGTTTTAAATCATAGTAGTTGTTTTTTTAAATTTCTTGATAAAGTTGCATGAATCCACCATAAAATACATGGTTTCCCTTACATAGGCGTAGCCGTGGCGGGCCGCCACGGCTGAAATCCCACCGCCACGCCTACAAGATCCCAAGTTTTATTTATGTATTTATTTATTTTTGCGCTGTTTCCCGAAGAAGCAGCGGGAACTACTATGTTGTCGCTGGTGATCACAGCCGGCGGGCAGCAAGGAGGACCAGGCAGGGCAAGGTGAAGTTACAGCATAAGTTACTGAGTTTAAAATTAGAAAGGTAGCAGTGGATATAATGCTTTTGGTTTACATGTTTCAGTAGCATTAAGATAAATGAGTGTTGACGATCTTGACAGGGTTTCCTCCAGTGCTTATTAGGCCAGATTTTCCTCCCCCCACCAGGCTAATCATAACTTATTCATGTAAAATTTATTTTTTCATGTCTGACTTTAACTGCATCTAATACTGTATTACGGCGTGAGCGCAGCAGCAACAACTTAAGATCGATGTGTGAGCAGCCTGAGAGGTCGGGTGTTTTCATCTGAACCCTTAAAACCTCCAGCAGGCTACGCTGCACTGTTGACGTGCTAGCGCGCGGCGCTAACAACGTAGCGACGTGACATGTCTCGGAGAAAGCGTGTGTCTTGTGTGTCCTTTTTGACCAGATGTTGAATAGATGTTGAAAGGTCAAACTACCTAAAAGCCGACCATTGCTGGACGTTACACAAACATTCACTCCCTGCAGTTTAATCATAAAATATAGAGTTAAGATAAAATTCAACAGAATTTGGGAAAACACTAAAACATAAATGAAATAAAGTTGGGTTTCATTGGACCTTGTATGGGTTGGTTTTAATGTCTTCTTGGATTTTGACTAGCAGCAGTTTCTGAACTTGGGAGTGCGAGTCCTGTCAGTAAAGCGTAAACGGAGCTTAGGGATTTATAATGAACACACTGTTGGTCTCCAGACAACAAGAGAGAATCAACTCTCAGCGAGAGGACATCGAGAGGCAGAGGAAGCTTCTGGCCAAGCGTAAGCCACCTTCTATGGCCCAGGCCCCTCCACCGAGCCTGGAGCAGAACAAACGCAAAAGCAAGACCAACGGAACAGAGAGCGAAACGTATGATGCTACGCTTTTCTTCCTAAGTACCTACAGTTGTTTTCCTTCATGTTTTGGATTTGGACTGAGATTGCTTCTGTTTTCTTCCAGACTATCACAGGCAGAGTACCACGAGCAGGAGGAGATATTCAAGCTCAGATTAGGATATCTTAAAAAGGTCATTTCTCATCAATTTTGCCATGCTCTGTGGACATTTGTGGTAGTTTTTGTTGCATAACTTTACTTCTGTTTAAATGTTGTTTGCAGGAAGAGGCGGAGATCCAAGCAGAACTGGAGAGATTGGAACGAGTCCGGAACCTTCACATACGCGAGCTGAAACGGATTCACAATGAAGATAATTCCCAGTATGACTTGTTTCCTATTTTATACGTGAAATGCGTTCCAGCACTGGTTTCCTCGAGCTGATGGTGTAATGCACGTGTGCCGTTTGACAGTTGGCTTTGGTTTAGCTGTTCTTGTCTTTTAGAAGTAAAATGGTGTCAAACCAGTCCCTGACTGTCAATGTCACTCCTGGTTTTAATCTCGACAACGTAAATGATCTAAAACATAAAACGTTACCCAATCTACTTGAAACATCCCAACATTTCCACTTCAGCATTAAAACAAGACGGCTTGTGAAGTATTTCTGTTGTAGCCGTTCATCTAGTCCTGCTTTGCGTGTCTAGTGTGATCTGCTTTGTGGGTTTCAGTGATTTTCTTTAATCATTTGTTTTTGTGTAACTGATAAGGAAATGTTTCTTTGGCTAACTTGCTGTTGTAACCAGTGTTTCTACTCAGACGTGAAACAGCTGAATTTAAAAAAAGAAAAAGCTATCAGAGGAACAGAAAGATATGCATGAATGAAAGGGACTTCTTGTCTTTCCTTTCTAAATTCTTCTCTCTAATTACTGGTTTTTCCATCTCTTTCCAGATTCAAAGATCACCCTACGCTAAACGACAGATACCTGCTTCTCCATCTTCTGGGGCGGGGGGGCTTCAGTGAAGTTTACAAGGTAAGTAGAGAAACACTTTACATCCTTGGAGATTTCTTCTGTTTTTAATTCTTGTTTTATTGCTTAGCTTTTTCAGATCAGCAAAAAAACAATACTGGACAAAATATATCTGAGTAAGGACGAGATGCAGTTTTCAAAATGGTCCCTTTGCTAAATCATGACTTGACAGTGATTTAACCACATAATCTGGAAAGCTGGGTTTGATTTCACCAGCCACACCCAGGCCTGGTTGCTGCCCGACCTGCAGAAGTAATAAATCACTTTAATGGAACCTGTCTGGCATCATGAAACAAGCCAGAAGATCTCAACAAGCAACACATCATAACTAGTTCTAAAGACATTTAATAACTAAAGAAATGGCTATTTAAAAGTGACATTTTTTGTTCCATCTGGAGTAGGGCTGGGCAGTAAATCAAAAATGTATCGTTATCGAAATTTCCGACTGTTATCGTGATCTTTTTTCCCATGTCAATAAATTTGATAGTAAACTAATGAAAAGTTGCGTGTAGGTTGGCAGCGTTCATGTCTTTAAGAAGCTGTACCACCTTGAGTCACGTAAAAATGTGACTCAATTGATAAATGTGACAGCTCCATCTAGTGGACAACTTTTGTTTCTGCGCATACCTGTAGTTATTGTCCATTTATCGTTATCGAGATGAAATACTCAATATATCATGAATTTATTTTAGGCCGTATCGCCCAGCCCTAGTTTACTATTTTAGAGTCAGATATACTCCAGATAAGGGCTGGGCGATATGGCCTGAAATCCGTATCAAATCACTTTTATTGTCACGTCACATGTGCAGGTACACTGGTGCAGTACATGCGAGTGAAATTCTTGTGTATCACGATATATTGAGGATTTCACCTCGATAACGAAAAATAGACGATAACTACAGGTATGCACAGAAACAAAATGTGTCCACTTGGTGGGGCTGTCACATGTATTTCCTTGAGAGACATGAACTAGGGATGAGCCGGATACTCGTTTCAGACGAGTATCCGGTACAGATAAAGCATTTTTGACTAATACAAGTATGAAATGGGGTTGCATGACTTAATTTTTTTTTAAAGTCGACAGTCAGGTAATGAAAATAGAGTCGACTTTGACTAGTCGTTGATGACGTCATACGCCTGAAGGAGGGGTGGGGTGGTGGGGGTTCGCTGGAGTTTTTGACAATTAAAATTGCGCCCACATTTTCAAAGTTAAACATCTTTTAACAATGGTAGTTTCTGCATCTATACTGCTCCGCTTCAGCCCTCTCCCCTCTCCCCCTGCTCGTCACCTGTCCTCGTCACCTGCTGTCTTTTCTGAGGACTGCACCTTGTCAGTCATTATCACGTGACAGCGACTAGTCGATGACGGGCATAAAAAGTCACTACAGAGCAGTGAAGTCAACTGGTCGACTAGTTCATACAACCCCTAGCATGAAACGAGTAAAACTCGTAAATATCTGTAATCGTGCTGAAGGAAAATCCTCATTGGGTAACTGACTGTCTTCACGCTCTGCGATTGGCCAGTCACATAGAGCGCCCGCCCCTCCCTACACACAAAACTCAGCAGCCGGTAGCTCAGTCCGCGACCGGGCCATCCATGCACATGCACGCGCACACGCACGCACACACACACACACACACAGTAACGGATCTCTCTGTGCTTGCTTCACTGTTCACGTTTCTTCAGTACTCCCTGTGTTTTCTTCTGTTTGCTTCTTTTTAAAGTTACTTTAAAGTTATTTTTTTCGTAACGTACATGGTGCATTTGACAAGACAGAGCTGAAAACGGCTCGTGCTGCGTCAGTCGCTGCCTCCGCTCTGCTCCGCTTAGGTTTTCTTTTTACTCTCTCCTCTTCCTCAGGATCCACTGATCTCCTCTTTCCTATTCACTCTCTCATTCTTTACATTTTTAATCGCAGTTGTCCATTTTTTGCTCATTTAAAATATATTTTTATCATTTTCTAAATTCTTTTTTCTATTTTACATTTTTTGTTTTTATGAAGCGCCTCGTGATTTTTATCTTGAGAGGCGCTATAGAAAAGCTCTCTCTCTCTCTCTCTCTCTCTCTCTCTCCTCTCTCTCTCTCTCTCTCTCTCTCTCTCTCTCTCTCTCTCTCTCTCTCTTTTCTATCACTTGCTATTGTGATCAAAAACATTTAATCTCAATTCTGAGGCCGCTCTGTAAAGTTTTCAAATAAACAATACACATAGCAACTTATGATCAATCCATATCAATTTCAGATAAAAAATAATGTATTGATGTAAACCACAGCCACTTCCGGTTAAACCATGCCCACTTCCGGTTAAACCACACCTGCTTCCGGGTTAGGCCACGCCCACTCGGAGTACAGATACAGATAATGGTGTACTCGCTCATCCCTAACATGAACGTCTGCAACCTTCAAACACCCGTTTCATTTATTTATTTATTTACTGAATTTATTGACATTGGAGAAATAATATCGGTTAAATTTTTATAACTATGCATTTTCGATTCATCGCCCAGCCCTGCATCTAACTAGCGGTCAAACAAGGAGGTGTGTGATGGTCTGGAGCTGCTTTGCCACTTCAGGACCTGGACCATAAATTCGGTTCTCTAGCACTTTGAAGGAGAATGTCCGACCTTTGACCTTAAACCTTCAAGCTAGAAAGTTCTTCAGTGTGTTTGAATTAGAACAAGGAGTGGAATGCCATTTCCCCCGTGGTGACATTGAGATGAGCATTACCAGGAGTAGGGCTGCACAATATTAGGAAAACCTGCGATATTCGATAGCAGTGCTTAATATTGTGATATCGATATTACTCGCGATAAATGAACAAATACTAAAGTATGCAGTGTTGATGTCGTCTGGCGTGTGACGTCTGCTCTGGGCTCAAAGCAAACAAAAACTAATGCATGAATTCCATTACAACATAACATTTTATTGCAAAAATATGCAGCTGCACCTGCTACTGTATTAGCAGCAAAACAACAAACTGCATGCATGCAGTTTCTCAGTGACTTTAAAATATCACCTCCACTATAAAACTTTTTTGAAGAAATAAAAAAAATCTGTAAATAAGTTTAAATGTTAAATAATAGTTAACATAACTTAAATGCAACAGCAAATTCTCTCATTGCTACTGAACATTTTCTCCACTTATGTGGTTATGATATAAGGCTGTTGCTGCAACTGGGAAGTGAACTGTGCTGGGCCAAACTAGGAGAATATTAAGATTTTCTGAGGGAAAGAGAAAAACAATTGTCTACCTTTCAGAAGAGGAACTGGCAAAAAAAACTACATGGAAAATATGTGAAAACGTTTGTTTTTAACCCCAAATTGAACAAGTTTACATAGATCTTAAAAAGCAGCTCAGATGATGAAACTGCAGCTATGATTCTGATAACAAGCTAACAAATTGAACTAGCTCCTCTAAGATAACCGGCTAGCAGAGCTTCTGACTGACAGTTTATGAGCAGCAGCAAATCAACTATCCTGACTAACAAGGTTATAAAAGCTCATAAATGAAAAATCACTTTGATGTGTGGGGGAACTTTTCCAGGCCCTCTTTAGCAGGGTGGGACTGGGAGGAGAGTGCTGTAGCCTATTAGCTGGAAGCTAACCGGAGCCTGGGGCTAAGGTGGGTTGGTTCACCGGCACGTGTCGGAGTCAGCCCGTTTATTATCAGCTGCTTAATGACACAGAGCGGACTCGCGTTCACGTTTGAAAGCAGCGCTGATTCCAGAAACCTCAGCACAAAGTGCGTTCGTTGCTCTGAGCCAGCATGACGAACAAGGGAACGGCGCCGCTAACTCGGCTCAGGTGTTGCTTTCCATCCTAAGGGTCTACGTAGGGGGCGGGCGTATTACGTGAACGGACCCATCTGACTGGCCACATATCAGAAGGACTACATTTGATTGGTCAAATAATACTTCCACGTAAGAAACAGAGCTGGTTTACAAAAAGCTGATGTATGACACGGATGGAAATGTTTGAACCAAACATTTATCGCCGTTTTTTACGTGCTTTGCGATGGGCCTGTCGCACGTCCTGTTATCCCGATGACGATAATTTTTTGATATATTGTGCAGCCCTAACTAGGAGTCTGGTTGGCCTGGACAGATTTTCTTTTTCCTTTTTAATAAATTAAATCCTTTACAAACATTTAATTTGTATTTACTCCATTTATTTTTGCTACTGTTAAAATGTATTTGCTGATCTATAACAAAAAAGCAAAACTGAAGAATTCTTAACCATGACATGATATTAATAATGTGTTAGTACGGTGGCTCTGCAGGGGTTCACACTCATGTTAATGTCTTATGTCTGTTTCTAAAGTTTTAATTTCTTCTTCAGAATGTTGGATGTGATCATCTCTGATTCAGAGATGGTGATATGTAACCAGCAGCTGCTGATTTATTTAACCCTCAGAGTGATGGTGCTGTGCGTACTTTGCTGGCGCTGTAATAAGTTGACTTGAACGTGTGAGTGAAATCGCTGTGCCAAAATGTCGGCGTTCCAAGAATCTGCTGTCAGCATCGTTAAAGTGATTAATGGACGCAGCCATTTAATGTGAGGCAAGAGCCTCGCTGCAGCTGAAGCAAAACTCCAATCTTAACTGGAGCTTTCTCCTCTCAGGCCTTTGACTTAACGGAGCAGAGGTACGTCGCCGTTAAAATCCACCAGTTAAACAAGAACTGGAGGGATGAGAAAAAGGAAAATTATCACAAGTGAGTGTTTTTATTAACTACATTTGATGATATTTTATCATTAGGTCTGATTCTTTCTTGGTTTCTTAACTAAGTGTTTGTTTGTTTTTACAGACATGCGTGCAGAGAATATAGAATCCATAAAGAGCTGGACCACCCTCGAATAGTTAAACTTTACGACTACTTTTCACTAGACACTGACTCGTAAGTCCTCCAAAATATCTGCTTACATATTTGGTTGTTGATGTGGACCCTTTATTTATTTATTTATCTGTTTATTTTTTGATGACTTGGCGATTTTAAGTTTAAAACATCGTCAGATGCTTGAGTACTAGGGATGTACCGATATGAGATTTTGGGCAGAGACCGATGTCTGATAATATTGCTGTCGTTGCTGACAGCCGATATTTCCCGATATGGTATATATAATTACACACACGCACATGATCACCCCCTCACCTCAGAAACAGATACATGAACAGAAACAAGATGGAAAAATTATCGGCCCAGTTTTACGCATCAGACTGACTGATATGTTAAAAAATGACTTAAATCGACCGATAATGTTGCCGATATATTGTGCATCCTAATTTAATCTCATCCTTTTGTGTGTGAGCAGCTTCTGCACAGTTCTGGAGTACTGTGAGGGCAACGATCTGGACTTCTACCTGAAGCAACACAAGTTGATGTCTGAGAAGGAGGGCCGCTCCATTATCATGCAGATCGTTAATGCCCTCAAGTACCTCAATGAGATCAGACCGCCCATTATCCATTACGACCTTAAACCAGGTGAGTCTTTACATTTACCAGGGTTTTTCCTCCACACAGGTGCATGGATGAGTCCACGTGAGGCCGTGAGTGATTTATGAGCTTTTATTTACCAAACCGCTGTCACAGAGCCAAGGAGGACTGGAATTTGTTGGAGTGCAACACATTAAATGTGTGACAGACGTCGCCCATATATGATTCTATTAGAAGCAGCCAGGTGAAAGAGTGTGTTTATTATAGCTCTTCACTTCCTCTCCTCATGGGTTATTATGCTGATAAATAATGCTTTCAAGTCCTGCGGTCATCTGCTGCTGCATAGCCTGTCTGCCCCTTGATATGTCAGATGACATCACTATTTTTTATTGCTGAGGCCTTTCAGGAATCACTGACATGGCCAGAAGGCATCTCAGGCCTCAGTTGATCAGTTTTATCAATGGAACTATTAGACGTGATTCCATTGTCGGAACTTCAGGATAGTTTCTAGGGGATGGGATGGCCTGGTCCTGTCAGCAGTTGTATCACCATATATATTCATCCCTTTCAGGACTTTGCACAGACATCAGAATATCTCGACAGCTTTGGCCGTGAGTGATGTCGCTGGTCAGCACCCAAAAGTGCTCAGAGTTTGACAGATGCTGGTTTTTCTATTGCCAATACTGATGCCTATATGTGGGGGAGCATGGTCAGCCGGTGGCTGATAGTTACTGCAGATTTTTATGGGTCAGTTTTCACGGCTGATATCCAGACGTTTTCCACCTGGTCTTCATGCTAAATGTCACTATTAACCTCAGTTGATGCACAAAGTTTCTGAAGCTGAATCAGTTTTTGAATTCTTAATTAACTGTTAACTCTTTGTGGATTGCTCAGTGGTGAATTCACATTATTTAGTATGCAGATGTTATTATGGGATGTAAAATGACATTTAAATTAAATTCTGCTAAAGCTCTGGGCTGCCCAAGGATGTGCCTGACTTGAAATCAGCTTTACTAAGGGCAAATAACTGCCGATGTATAAAAAAATGGTAAACAACGGCCTGGTATATCGGCCGACCAATATATAGGTGTACACCTAGTCCACAGTTACATGAAAAACTATAAAACTACGGAATCATTTCATCCATGCGCCTGCTGGAAGTTCTGGTAAAACTACCCTGAAGTTTCAACAGTGAAAAACACCTATTATACTCTTACACACACACACACACACACACACACATTGATGAATCACATTTATTTTCTTATTCTCTTTAGTTCTGAAAGCTTGTTGTGACTCTGGTTATGACTGCGTCTCATCAGCTGATCAGCTCATCATAACCGCTGCCATTAATAAGAATGAAATTATCAATCAAACAGTTTATTTTGTGATCTTATCAACATTCATCATTCCATTATGTTCCCGCCTAACTACATTAACAAAACCATGTTTGTTTGTTTGTGACCAAATGAAATGTTGAGCCACAACCTTTTCTTTTCCATCCAGGTAACATCCTGCTGGTGAACGGCACGGCCTGCGGGGAGATAAAGATCACAGACTTTGGCCTGTCTAAGATCATGGATGACGACAGCTACAACTCAGTAGACGGGATGGAGCTGACCTCCCAGGGAGCAGGGACCTACTGGTAAGATTTACTCCGTGACTGATGCTAAATGTGTATTGAACTCTGCAGCTAATGTTCTTATTTACAAAGCTTAACGGTTGCATAAATGTAAAGTAACGTGTTTCGAAAGCAGGTACAAATAAACTCAAGTTAAATGATGGAAAACAGGATTATGCTTGTAAAACTACACTTGCAGACATTGCCTGGAGCCTTACTCACACCACAAAGTGTTTTACTCTGATATCGATCAGTATTGTGTTTCTGGTGTACACTCATTGCCTGGTTCCAGTGCATCAACAGTGCTCACAGCCATGGATATACTATTTATGTGTTGATTGTCAATTTTAAAACAGATTGGTATTTTTTCTAAGGTACCTTCCCCCTGAGTGCTTTGTTGTTGGCAAAGAGCCACCAAAAATCTCCAATAAGGTGGACGTTTGGTCTGTGGGAGTCATTTTCTACCAGTGTTTGTATGGCCGCAAGGTAGGAAACCAGCCGCTACTGCGCTCTGAAGTTGTGATGTTGGACAACCAGTGTGACTGATAATATTAGACTGGAACATTTTAGTGTTTGGCTTAATTAGGGCTGGGTACCATGAGATGTATTTTTATATCAGTACTTTAATGATACCTGGTTTTTGGTACCGGTACGGAAACGACACATTTCTTCGATGTATGTTTAAATCTAATATTAAGGAGAAAAATCCTTAAAGGTATAACATATAAGAGTTTTATAGTGAAATCACAAAACAGTCTAATGTCTCAATCATGCAAAAAGAAAGGTTGCATTGAAAAAGACTTTCCCCTCAGCCAGCTGAGGGCTTGTTCGTTTTTCTCTTTTCAGAAAGTTCAAAGAGGGACGTAATCCCTGTTTACAATCTAAGCGTGTGGGGTTGCCGAGTGTGTGCCAGCTAACGCTGCAGCGTCATCATTTGTAATTTGACACTTTCAGGCAAAGAGTTGTGGACCGTAAGTTAGCCGTCAAACAGGAGCGACCCAGAAGTTATTTCTTGAAACCCTCAGAAGCCACGGTATCTTTTTATTTTACTTTAATATCGGGTAAAGAAGGCTAGAGGCTAACATTGAGCTAACAAAGTTAACCGTGAATTAGCAAAAAGTAGTTGGCTCTAAAAATATCTCAAGCAATTTTTTCTATTACCAACAAGTCGATATTAGTGTGATTAGTGTTTATCTACTTATTAACTTACTGTGTAGGACTCGTCTTCACTTCTGGTGCTGATCCATAACTGCCAACAGCCACCAAACTCATGAAACTGGTGGAAGAAGTCATCGTTTGTTTTGAAAACGCGTTGCAGTACACAAGTTTACCCACAGGATGCCATTCTTACTTCATTCTTACATAAAGTGCCTTTAAAATGTTCTTTATAATAAGGATCATTAAAAATGTCATATTTTCCTTTTATTGCAAAACAAAGTAAGCAGTAGGAGGATGCTATTGCTACTACGATACCAGAAACCCATAATAAAATATGTTTGATTCTCAAATAAGCCAAATCATTAGATGACTACCTACATGTACAGTTAAAGTAAGAGGTGGAAAAAGACAGAAAACATTACATCGTAAGCGTAAGTCCTAGTCATTTCTGCAGGGTTGCTGTTGCAGCCGAGGAGGAACGTTGTGGACTTGGGTCTGCTGTGTTTTTGCTGCAGATGGCTCATGCTTCCGCTTGTGAATGAGTGATGGCGTGCTTTATTAAATTACTGGTATTTTCATGATTAGCGACACAAATCTCATCACAGATGTAACTTTTAGCTGCTGCAGGTTGCTTTCACAAGATGCAGCCAGAACTTTTGGGCCATTCCCATCTGTACCGGGTCGGGCCGGGTAGCGTAGGTTGTTTACATATCTGGGTGGCCTGGTATTTTTCCGGGCCAACCAAGGCTCATTCTCAGCCCTCTTCTCGAGGGGGTCTGCTTCAGGCCGACCAGGGCCAACACACCCACTGCTGACAGCAAATTCACACCTTCCATTAGAGCAAGCCTCTGATTGGTGGGTAGAATCAGCCCACATGGGCTTAAGGCAAGGATGTGTGGAATCAACCGGGCCAGGCTGGGGCCGACTGGGGCTACCCGGCCCGGGCCGACCCGGTACAGATGGGAATGACCCATAAGTTTTCTGAGTTCGCAAACTCGGAGGAATGTTGTACTAAACTGTGTGAGTGAGAGAGCAGCGTTCCACCAGTCATGTGATAACCGGTAAAGTTTTAATAAGGAGAGTACAGAAATTTAGCACCAAAGAAGAATTTTTTTTGGTACCAGTACACCAAATATTTTTAGACTGTACTAAAGAGGAACAGCGTTTCGGTACCCAGCCCGAGACCCAACTGTGGACTGATTACAGCTGTTTTCATTGTACGAGTCACATTGAAATCTTCACTTTAAATGGATCAGCTCGGAGTAATTCTCTTTTTTTCCATCTCCCTTTTCTCTTTAGCCATTTGGCCATAATCAGTCTCAGCAGGACATCCTGCAGGAGAACACAATTCTGAAGGCCACAGAAGTTCAGTTTCCTCCTAAACCCGTCGTTTCACCTGAAGCTAAGGTATTCTATATGTACTGGCTGCTCCCACATTTTAATGAATGTCTTAGAAAGCAATCATTTGGTTTACATCTACAACCGTTTAATCTCTGGAGTTAGCCCGATTCAGGTTAGCTGCAACACATTCCTCTCCATGACTCAGTCGGTTTTACTGATATGAGCTACAGTTTGGTTGTCAGTAGCTGAAAGTCGGTCACAACTCACTCTCCAAGGATCCCTTCATGAAACCCTGAGCTAATGTACGGCTATAAAATTAGTTTATAGTAAAATATTTTGATCTTCACCTTGACCTTTCTGTCTCCAGGCCTTTATAAGGCGCTGTCTAGTCTACCGTAAGGAGGACCGCATCGATGTGCACCAGCTGGCCAGTGACCCCTTCCTAATGCCCCACATCCGCAAGTCAGTGGCTTCCTCGGGCACCTCTGGCATGGCCGTGGCCTCAACATCCAGCTCCAACAACAGCGCCTCAAACTGAGCTCACACCTCTTTAATGCCTGACTCGATCATTTAAAGGGGTGGGGGGCACGCGATACTGTCTCCCCTGTCCTAACAGCGTCCCACCTTGCCATGAAGAGCCCAAGAGAAACTGGTCAGATGGCAGCAGGGGCTGGGGGATAAGTCACCGAAGCACTGGGAAGGAGGCGGTTCTACTCCAGTCCTCTGATGTCTGCCCAACCCAGAACCACCTGTCCTGTTTTCTCAGAAAGAGTGGCATCATTCTGGGGGTCAAAGCCCTGGAAGACTCACGCAGTCGAGGGGCGAGTCTTGGCACTGTGTTGGGAAGGAGCGGGTTTAGTTATTTTGATTTTTTCTGCTTAAGTAACAGAAAATGAAATGAAGTACAGAACATCTTCAGCTTGGATGGACGGAAAAGACTGTAGAAGGTGTCATATTCATTCACACACAGACACACACACACCCGTGCATGAGCCACCCTGGTCCAAGGCTGTCAGAACCTCCCAAGCTGCAACATTTAGTTTGTCCCATCTGGGTTGTTGGTGTTTGGAACCCTGTCATCACCCTTACCCTGTTGAAACTGCAGACCCTCGTGGTTTTGGATGAAGAGGGGCACAGTTCCCCCTCACCTCCACCCTCCCTCCTGTATCTTCTCAAACTCCTGTGACCAAAGCTTTTAACTTCCAGCTGGTGGCAGTGTTCCACCTCAGTTTTTATAACGAATGGTTTTAGAGTGGTGCTACGTGAGAGTGGAAGCTGCTGATAAATGCCCACTTCTTACATTTTTAGAAGAAAAAATGTGTTTAGTTGAATTTGTTCATGGAAAAAAAACTTCAACTTTCAAGTTGCCTTTAATTAGAAATGTTATGGCTTTGGTTGACACCCCCCCCCCCCCACCCCCCCACCCCCACCCCCATGTGAACACATATTTATTTAGGTATGTTTGAATTTATTTTTGGTCAATAAAATGCAAGGGACTGGTTTACCTAATAGTACTGTTGTGGGGGGAGATTGGGCCTTAGCAAAAAGTTGCATAAATCATTAAATGCTATTGGTTAAAATGTTTGTTGTTCTGAATTTTTGTACAACTGGATCTTCCATCAGCTGAAGTAACCAGAGTTGTCACTGACCATGAATCAAACACTGCCCATGTAGTTCTGAGTGGTGCCTAATAAACAGGCCAGTTGGTCGTTTCCTGCTGACAGATTTTGGGTATTAAAGCAGCTTTTTTAAGGTAGTCTGGTAAAATTCCACCTAATCTCCCTGAAGCGTCTCCTGACAATGCACTGGCCTATTGAAGGTGTGTTTTTGGGTCATTGTTCTGTGGTAGAAGAACATCTGCCCAAATAGAGAAATTTGCAGGTAACCGTGTTAATAGTTTCTGTAATCAATCAGCTGGATTAGCTCTGATTTATTCAGATCTTTCTTTTATAATGATACATTTTATTTGTGAAATGGATGAAACGGTTTATCTTTGCAAAACCTGAACCTGAACTTCTGAATGAATTTAAAATTTGAGCAGAAGGTCATTAAAATATCAACACAGACTTGAATTCTGATCCTTGTAGGGGTAGAGTTAAGTCTGCTCCTTAAGCCTGGGCTGGAAAGTTAGATTTAGTTCTTGGTTTATAAATAAACATGTTTCTATAATGTGGCAAATGGAAGATGCATCTACTGTTAAGAGCTCAAATAATGAGGTACCAAAGTTTACCTACTGGTGAAGCTGAGGAGTAAATCAGTTGTGTTCAAACATTAAATGCATTTTCTCAGCAGTGGCTTTGTTCTTTAAAAATGGAAACCAGCAACCCATAATTGTAATTTCAAAGCACTTTAAAAAGCAGCGACTCGTATCGGCTTCAGTTTAATCCATTGTCAAGTTTATTCATAAGGAACTTTACCAGACAGCATGGCGGCTGGCCAAAGCGCTGTACGAAACGGTTAAAATAGCACGGTAATTAAAATTCTGAAAAATGATACGCACAACAGGAAATGAATTTGAGGCGGTACAATATGGAGCACTACAGAAATACATTCTCACAGCCAAGAAAATAAAATATTAAACATCAGAAACCAAAAGCCGAAATAAAAAGTGAGCCTTCGCTGTTGATTTAAAAGTTGGAAAATAATGAAAGTAAAATGCCAATTAAAGCTGTTATGACTAATCTGCAAACAAGCTTTTAGTCACATACACGGGAAACTCATTGCACCATGGTTCTGCCGGAACCGGAAACCCACGATGCCGAAGAAAACGAGAATGTAACAGTTGCCATTTTCCACCAGTTTCTCTCTGATATTATTGAGCGGAGAACCTCACACACACCAGTAGTGTTCTGTTGCTAAACACAAGTGTGATGAATGGAGGGCCCAGGGAGGTGTAGTGGTTCGCGAGACTGAAGACCGGATGGGCCAGTAGTTGCTTTCAGTCCAAAACATGCAACTGGCGGAGGTTTTTAGAGGAATGTGAGAGAACTACTTCATTAATTGTTTTTAGCTTATTTTTTTATTTTTTGGTAACGCTTCCTTTTAGTCCTCTAATTACTAAGTACTTACATAGTAAGTTAAAGTGTATTATTGTTTCTGAGTTCCTAAACAGTTATTACCGTGTAACTCAGGTTCAATACTAGTTTTTATTTTTACTAATCGTTTCCAGTAAATACTGCTTTTCACAATAGTTGCACTTTATTACATTTATACACTTTAATTACACAATAATACACTTTTACTTACTATGTAATTGCCATGTAAGTACTTAGTAATTTTGGGACTGTAGAAGGAAGCACTGTCTTTTATTTAATTTTTTATGTTCACGATATATTTACAGCTATATTGTGTTAGAAGGTTGTTAAGCATAAAAAAAAGTTTTAAGCTAGTTTGTTTTCCAAATTTGCAGCAAATGGCAACAAATCTTCATTTGAACAGTATCCTCCATCCTGAGCAAGCACAGCGCCACAGCAGGAAAAGCTCATTTGTCCCCAGGACGAAACCATCCTAAACGCTAGATGTGGTCTTATTTATGTTTACTGGACTATGCTAAGAATTTCTATGTCACTTATTTTTCTACATGTGCGAGTTTTTCCTCTTTGTTGAAATTGTGTTAAATGTATACTGAATCACAAGTCCCAAAGGCTGAAATGAATGATCAGTACCCTAAATGCTGACAACAATAACATAACCTTCCTTGTAAGATTTTACCCCAAGGCCACACACACCAATCAGTTACAGTGGGGTGTGAAAGTTTTGTCAGCCTTGTTAATCTTCGTGATTTTTCTGGCAAGTCGTCGGTTGTTACTATAAAATTTTCAGATATATATATATATATATATATATTATATATAGCATTCATCATCCCCGTCGAGTGTGAAGTGGCTGGGATAAGAATCAACTTTTCTAAATCCGAGACGATCTTGAATCAGAAAAGGGTAGATTGCCTTCTCCAGGTCAGGGAGGAGGTCCTGCCCCAAGTGGAGGAGTTTTAAGTATCCCGGGGTCTTGTTCACGAGTGAGGGAAAGATTGTGTGAGATCTACAGGTGGATCGATGCTGCGTCTACAGAACTGTGGACGTTGTACGCTCTCGATTTACCAGTCGATCTACGTTCCAACCCTCACCTATGGCCATGAGCTTTGGGTAGTGACCGAAAGAATGAGATCGCGAATACAAGCGGCCAAAATGAGTTTTCTCTACAGAGTGGCTGGGCTCAGCCTTAGAGATAGGGTGAGAAGCTTCGTCATCTGGGAGGGGCTCGGAGTAGACCCGTTGCTCCTCCACATTGAGAGGAGCCAGTTGAGGTGACTCGGGCATCTAGTCAGGATGCCTTCTGGACACCCCCCTAGTGAGGTTTTCAGGGCACGTCCAACCAAGAGGAAACCCAAGGGAGGACACGCTGGAGGTACTATGTCTCTTGACTGGCCAGGGAATGCCTAGAGGAGCTGGTCCAAGTGGCTGTTTTATAAGGCGGACAATTACTGTAATATTACTACCAAACGAGGTGGAACAGACTCTGCAAAATTTGCACAATGCCATTCCAGCATGGTGCGTCCGTAGGACACACCGTTGCGGTAATATTACGCCAATTTGCCAGCACGGTGTGTCTTGCACAAAGGGCTTTAGGCCATACGCAAACAGTGAGAACAGAGGGTTACCAATCTTCTCCTTTAATAGAAAGGGTCGATACTGGGCCCAACCTTATTTAAAATCTACATTAATAACATTGTTCATGCTGTTGACGGTTCTCATTTACATTTATATGTGGATGACACCATTTTATATGCATGCAGTTCTTCCTTGAATGCAGCTTTGTCCTCTTTGCAGTACAACTTTAATTGTCTTCAACATGCCTTCTCCAACCTTCATCTTCATTTAAACACAAGTAAAATAAAGTTCATGATCTTCAACCATAATTTACCGCCATCAACCTGCCACCCTAGTGTTGTTTCCCTGTATGGTGCAGAACTACAACTTGTCAGTTCTTATAAGTATCTGGCTTGACAGCACACTTTCATTTGACATTCACATTAATTACTTTCTAAAGTCAAGTATTGGGTTTCTATGCCACAACAGGTCATCCTTTATTCATTCTGCAAAGCAAACCTTGGTCAAAAAGACAATCCTTCCATCTTAGATTATGGTGACATCACATCATTTATGGAACTGCTTCAAAAAAACGTCTTTATAAACTCAATGTCATTTATCACTCAGCAATCCATTTCATCACCAGTACCCCTTTCACTACTCATCATTGAGATGTGTACTCACTCATTAACTGGCCATCACTCCATTCCTGCAGGTTGATACATTGGTGTAAAAACAATCATCGGTAGAACACCGTCATATCTTCGCTCATTACTCATCACTTCCAATAACGAGCGCAATTTATGTTCCAGTAACTTAATCTCTATGGTTATTTCCAAAGCTTGCACCTCCTTTGGCCGCTCCTCATTGCAGTTTGCTGCTTCCAACGACTGGAATGAGCTGCAAAATCACTGAAGATCACTGCCTACATCCCATCATCTACCTTCAATAATTCATTGCAATCAATAGTTTCTGATCAATGTGCTTCTGAATACTTAAAGACTGTTTTAAAACAAGTCTGTTTTGATTGTCTGTACATATTATATATGAGAACAGCCATTTGTCTTTATGTGTAACTGTTTTATCTTATTTGGATCTTGTATGTTTTGCTTTGGTGTAAATCTAACTGTGTGTTTGTTGCTGCTGCCTCTTGGCCAGATCATCATTGTAAATGAGAATGAGTTCTCAATTGATTCATCTGGATAAATAAAGGTTAAATAAAACAAATAAATAAAATAACAAGGGGCGTTATGTAGGAAAAAGAACACTGCTTTCCAAGATAAACACCTGCTACCTACAGTAAAACATGGTGGTGGTTCCATCATGCTGTGGGCTGTGTGGCCATTGCAGGGACTGGGAATCTTGTTAAAGTTGAGGGACGCATGGATTCCACTCAATGTCAGCAAATTCTGGAGACCAACTTCCAGGAATCAATGAAAAAGCTAAAGCTGCACCGGGGCTGGATCTTTCAACAAGACAACGACCCTAAACACTGGTCAACATCTACTAAGGTATTCATGCAGAGGAACAAGTAGAACGTTGTGGAATGGCCATCTCAGTCCCCAGACCTGAATATTATTGAACATCTGTGGTGTGAGTTAAGAGATGTCTATGTTCGAAGCCTTCAGACCTGAATGAACTAGAGATGTTTAGTAAAGAAGAATGGTCCAGAATACCTTCAGCCAGAATCCAGACTCTCATTAGAAGCTATAGGAAGAGTTTAGAGGCCTTCATTTCTGCAAAAGGAGGATCTAATACATACTGAGCTCATTTCTTTTTTATTTGCCTAATTTGTTAAAACAATTATTGCACACTTTCCGTTAATCCACAAACTTTGTTTAACGTCTCAGATGTCACTGTGTGTGTCCTATACGACATAAGCTGATATTTTTTATTGTAAAAACCAACAATTAATAAAGAAAAATCATGAAGATTAACAAGGTTGCCCAAACTTTCGCATCCCACTGTAGTTTTTTATTCCTTTCCAACAAATACATGAGGTTCAGTTCAATGCATGTGATAAATAATAAGAGTTAAATAGCTTTTTTGTTTCTAAACGTTCTTTTTTTAAGTGAGATATTAGATAAGTGATGACGTGGGCTTTAAAAGGGCTAGTGAAACAAAGATGAGAAAAGTTTGTGTGGCTGCTGCGGGTTGACGTGGAGATCCCTGGAGGTCCTATATGGGAAACACACACACACACACACACACACACACACACACACACACACACACACACACACACACACACACACAACTTTGTGGACTCTGCTCCATTCATTCAGTCTGATCCGATAGAGGCGGACAGAGGGACGGAGCAGACCGTCAACAGCTCTCCATCAGCCGCGTCGCTGCTCCGGGTTCGCCTTCTCTCTCTCTCTCTCTCTCTCTCTCTCTCTCTCTCTCTCTCTCTCTCTCTCTCTCTCTCTCTCTCTCTCTCTCTCTTCTCTCTCTCTCTCTCTCTTTGTTTTTTCCTTCCCTCTCGTTTCGACTTGTTTTCGTCCGTGCGTGTGAGCATGCAAAGCAACGATCGACACCGAAGCCAGACTCCAGGAGCATCATGGACAAATCTGACACTTCTGTTTTACAAATGCACTTTATATTTATTCATCTTTGGTCTGGAACTGAAGCACGGCGCTGCGGGTGAGCGAAAACCAACACTTTTACTTCTCTTCACTGCTGTAGAAGTCGATGGATCTGGAAGAAAATGAACTTTTATGTGCACGTCTTTGTTTTGGGGGAGGCTTATGGAAAGCCAAGTTTTAATTTTTTATTTGGAGTGGCGGAAAGCTGCGACCTAAAGTCCGAGCAGTGAGTGGAACCAGATGTGGAGACAGGCGAGGGGAGGAGGGAGGCAGCGGCAGGCAGCCTCGCGTTACTGGTGAAGTTTAGGGGAAAGGCAGACTTCAGTGTTTTCCTGTTCTGTCTTTGTTTCAGATGTCTTTGTCTTTTTTAGGGATGGGGTGGGGGGTGCAGACCGTGGAGCTTCAGTTGTTGGCCTGCGGGCTGATGTGACCTTTGCATCCGGTTACAGGCTGCAATTAACAGGCTGGTCCGTCCAGGCCATCCGAACACATGGAAGCCACATAAACAGCACTTTCTGACACATTTGGACCGAATCAAACACATTTAGGCAGGTTTAACAAAGGGGATTTCACTACCCTGCTTTTATCTTGGTGGTTCACCTACTCCTGCTTTATGGCAGTCAAATTTTACACTTATGCTTCTGAAATCAGCAGATTTAGACTAGTTATGCACGCAGAATTTCTGAATGTCTTGCTTTATCTACAGTGCAAATATATATATATATATATATATATATATATATATATATATACTCACTGGCCACTTTATTGGGTACATCTTGCTAGTAACGGGTTGGACCCCTCTTTGCCTTCTGAACTGTCTTAATCCTCAGTGGCATTGATTCAACCCCAAGTATAAACATTCCTCTGAGATTTTGGTCCATACTGACATGAAAGCATCCATGATGTGAATCTCCCGTTCCACTACATCCCAAAGGAGCTCTACTGGATTGAGATCTGGTGACTATGGAGGCCATTTGAGTTCTACAGTGAACTCATTGTCCTGTTCAAGAAGCCTGTCTGAGACGATGTGAGCTTTATGGGGCATTATCCTGCTGGAAGTAGCCATCAGAAGATGGGTACGCTGTGGTCATAAAATTTCTATTTTTATGTTATAAACACACACCACACACAATTACGCTTCTGAGGTTAATCACTGTCACATGACTAAACAATTACACATCATCACCTCCTTCACACTATGAAACAAATACACAAATGGGAAACATATTGGTTGTTAATGTCGGCCCAGTTCGACCGATACATATGTCAATATATCATCCCTAATTTATACTATTTAGATTTAATGAAGATGTGACTGAACATTTAAATTCAACTTGACACATTTAGATTTGATTCAAAATATCATCTTTTTGGATTTATTTGAACAGAATGTTGTAAATTCCTATATTATTGCAACAAATCTGTAAGCTTTAATAGTTTTATATCTTAATGCTTAATAATATGGTGATGAGGTGCTAAACATGAACACTCAACTGTTGATTTATCAGCATTGTTTTACAGTCTGATTATGGTCAGGACTTTTAAGTGGAGGGGCTAACGTGGTGTTGGATTTAAAAAACAACGTCCGTCTTTTATCAGTCCATGGTTCATATCTCAAAGAAAACAAATCTAAGCACGTCTCCCTCCTAACACGTAAACTCGGGTTGTGATAGATTAGTCAGTTTCATGCTGCAAGTAAACCCTGAGACACTTTACCTTTCCTTTTTTAGGTTTCTTATATTTGACATCCACTTTTCCAGGTTCTGTGCTTCTGAGTGTGGCTGCAAATGCAAACACGCTTCATTTGCCAAAAGCCCTTCTCTCTCGCCCATGCCTCTAGGATGAGGTCAAATTTATCCACAAGAATTTCTCCAGAGGCCAGACCACCAGAAAACAAACGCAGCAGGCGGATCATTTTAAAATTTTTATTTATGGCATTATTTTTATCACACTGATTATTTACAGTTTCTGTTCCTGGGGACAGTCCCGCGATCCTGCATCAGTTTTTCTGAAATGAAACAAGACTAAAAATATTAATAATCCCATCGTGCCGTAACACTCTGGCATCACCAATGTTGAGAAAAGCTAACGCTGAATTGAGGAGTTTTGGCGAAGCTGCCAGCTGCTCATGAATATGTTTCATCTTTGGTAGGAAACTTTCATCAGCGTTGAAATAAAAAGAGGTGACAGGGCCGAGGAAGAGGATGAGATCACAGCAGGAGGGCTGTTGTAGCTTAGCTTTCACTGAGCTTGGAGGATTAAAGCGTATCTGGAAGGAGTTTTCTCACATCAAACAACCAGTCGTGTCCCGTCCTGAAGGAAAATCCAACTTCCTTTAAAAAAAATCCCCTCTTTTCTTCCTAAACTTCAGCTTTAGTTTGTCTGATTGTTTGGAAACTCAGCTTGTGTGAAAACTTATATTCTAGCAATTTAATAACCGATTGTTTTATAGAGATGCACCCAAACATCTGTGTAACAATCAGAATCTGTGAGTAATTATGATGACCGGGCAGTCTGAACCTCAGCAAATGCACTGTTGCCAAGCAGTAACAAATAACAATTCCAACATTCTTTCCCGTCCTTGAACTCACCATTGCTAAGTGCTCACATTACTTCCAGAATAATCTTTTTAAGTTATTAAAGAGCAAGTCACCCCCAAATCAACTTTTTTCCCCTGATAAACTAAATAAACGAGTGTCTAATCATGCTGCAGAAACGTGTAGTCCATGGTTTTGCACTTTAGTGCATTTTAGTTAAAATTTTAATTTTCTGCCTATAACTGTCAGTGTTGTGCCGTTGTCAGGTAAAAACTCTGCACTGCATTTGAATTTAAATCTGCCACCGCTATTAGCTAAGAGGTATACTATGATGTAAACTGGTACATTATGATGTCACAATGCTGTGGTGAGCCTGTGTGTGTGTGTATTTGTTAGCGGCTCCGCCCTCTCGGTCTGCCAGGCAACAGCATTTGTTGCATTTTTTAAACATGAAGAGAGAATGGAGTTAGACTCTGGTAGGGGGTGACTTGCTCTTTAAGAGAATGTATTACTTATAGCGCTTGTAAATTTACAAATTGACTTGAGAGTTTATACAACTGTTGTTGTATTGCTGTATTTATGTGCTGAATAGAAAATAGCAAGAGTCAATTAAATGTTCATTTTAATAATCATATCTAAGCCCTAATTTAAGATGTGATAAGATCAATGATAATAGAAATCCTGTAACTACACAAAAGTTTATTACTATGAAAAAACATTCAGTTAGTGAAGCTGAGGCGAGGATTTCAAATCAGTCACGTCTTTTTAGGTCTGTTAGAGGATGTTCATCGCATGGGCGTAATTCACGCGGGGTACGCGTGGGACATGGCCCCCCCTCAATTTATCGCCTGTTTATTCATTACGGAGACACGGGAGGCGTTGCGACACACCCCTGACTTTTCAAAGAACTTTACCTTTGTTCACATTTTCTTGTGGCTCTGGATCTTGCTGTCGGTAGAGGCAATGGTTTTGCTTCAGAAGCAGCTGACGTCTCTTTTTTCTTGTGCACTGGTGCTTTTAGTCAGCGGAACATAACATTAGTTTTCTGCTCCAGTCAACGCAGAAGCTTTTAACCGAATCTGTTGTGGTTTAAGTTTGAAGTAAACAAACTAAAAATAACAATAAATCATAAATAGTGTCAAAAGAAAAGCCTTTTCTCTAAGGTTTTGGGGCAGTGTGTGAAACCTAAACAAAACAGTGATTTAGGACAAAGCCCCACATTTAAATGGTTGTGCTGGTTTACTATTTGATACCAACAACGTTTTAAATTCAAAGCCAAGCACATCTGTAAGGGAATGAAAAATGGTAATTGACCTGTGTTTGATATAGCACCATCTCTGGTTCTACAACCCCCCAAGACACTTTACAACACAATCAATCATTCACACAGACATATTCACATGCTGGTGATGAGCTACAATGTAGCTACAGCTGCCCTGGGGCGCACTGACAGAAACAAGGCTGCGGAAGGCAGGCACCACCGGGTTAAGTTTCTTGCCCAAGGGCACAACGACTGAGACAAACAGGGCTTGAACCTGCAACCCTTAGGTTTTTGGGTGGGCACCATTGCCCCAATGAATAAGGAAAATTGCTGATGACATCATGTGTGTTGAAGTAATTAGTGAAAAATTAATACATGAAATGTTTGCTCGTTATCTGTTAAACCGATGGAATTTGGCCATTTTTGTTTGCCAATGCCACCTACCTCTGGTGGCCATCTTGGATTGGGTTGACTACAAAAGTCAACCAGTTGTTTGTTCAATAATGACTTTCTGGAGGTTTTAGTCAAGTCTATCTAGTGGTTTATGAGGCGTTTAGCTAAAGATTACCAGTGTTGAGGAGTAACAGAATACTTGTACTGCCGCCACGTATTTAGAATACAAAGTATGAGTAACTGTATTTCATTACAGTTACTATTTTAAACATGGAATTTAGAATACAGTTACTGTCATAATACCATTGGAATAACTGTATGTTTTCCTAGCTTGGCGATCCATCCCATTTATGTGAATGTATGTAGTCTGGCCACGGTCCATTGACGGCTCTCGGTCGTGGGGCGGGACCTACGGCTGTCTTTCAAACTGTCTCCGTATGCTATTAAATAACAAACTCATCACCACTACAGATGTTGGTCAATGAGGCAGTCCACCCTGCTCTGTTAAAGAAGTATCTATCTCTATCTGCTCTTCACTCAAAGAAAAGTCCAAGTCAAAATAGTTCAAAGACGCAAAGGCCGTTTTGAGCCGCCATCATATTTGGTTTTTCAGTAACATCCCGCCCACCAACTGAGTGCTGTGACTGGCCAACATAATAGAGCGGTGTGATTGGATCCGTAAAGATGCCAGTCACAGCCAACAGGGTGTTCCACTGCTGAAGAAGATGCAACATCCCGCCCACCAAACAGACGGAGCGCTGTGATTGGACTGGCACCAGACGTCTGGGACTGCTTTGGTTCCAGACTGGCAGCAATGCTGTGCTACGTTCAACACTTTTTCACTTTATTACAGAAACAGAAACATAATTTATTAACACTTTGATAAATAAACAAAAATTATAGAATAGTTTTATTAATTTTTTCCCAGTACATAATGTTTAGCATTAATATGACGTACGGGTGTAGCTACCAACACATGTAATAGACTTAAATGCTGTTTTTAAGGGGAAGTATTCTAAGTATTTAGAATACAGTATTAATATCAAGTAAAGTAAAGGGATGCACTATAAAATACGTTTTTAAATGGGTGTTCAGTGTTCTGTAACTAAATACATTTATAACGTATTCCATCCAACACTGTTGATCACACAGGCAAGAACATTATTGTCCCCCTCGTGGTACAAAATCATAAACATGTCTTATAAAAGTTGAGGGATTTTTCTTTGTTAGGCCCTCTGGAGTGAGAGTTACAACATAGTTGGAGGAAAAATATCTTGGTTCCTTTTCCAAAATTCCAGTATTTGTAGCCGACATCCTGCCTCAGTAGAGCTTTAATTTTTATTAGCTGCCTGTAAGGATGTGTGGGTAACACTCTGCAGGCATCTCAGAGTTACGAGGGAGTGAGAATACAGAAGATCACTGCCACACATTTTACTTTTGCAGACAAAGCTGTTAAAATCACCACAAACTCCCAAATGAGCCAATTTCCTACAGATTCTAAAATAATTCAAGTCCTAGCTAAGAGATGCACAACGCCCACCATATTTCATGTCAGAGGTTTAAACTAAGATCTGTTGACAAATGACGGAATTAAATTTGTTTTGGACGAATCTTATTAGAAATCACATCATTTGTGAGATCTTGTGCAATCTTTTTGTGCTGTGTCATGGATGAATCTCAGCTATGACCACACTGACTGAGTTAGAGCTGCTTTAGAGTTTGTTGATCAGCCGTGGAAGCCATTTTGAATCAGGTTCACTCCAAAAGGGAATCATTAGTAGATAAACACCCAGTAATGACTTTCCGATAAAAGTCCTCCCAGTGCTGCTTGAGGTATTTTGCTAAAAGTCAAACAACCACGTACACAGATTTGCTTGCTTTTTGCCATTTTGTTAGGTGAAGAAAACTAAATTTAAAAACAAACGTCACCTGAAAATGTGTCAAACCTTTTGCATTCTGAGGAGTTTTCATAAACCTTGAAATAAAATGGTTTTTAAAAAAAAAATCAAAAAAATAAAATCTGTGTTTTCCGTCAGTGTTTGGTTTTAGGAATTATGTGCCTAAAACAAGCCGTTTCCCAAAGTCCCTGTTAGTGATGTCACAAATGAGGAAAGTAGAATAGAACCACCTCTCATGTACAAGAAAGATCAGCTTCTGGAGGAGCAGTGTCTCTACTACAAACTCCTCCCACATATCAGAGCTTCTCAGCTTATAGCAGCTTGAGTTGGACAACAGCAGCTCAGGAGGTAGAGCGGGTTGCCCAGTAATTGGAAGGTTGCAAGTTCAATCCCGGCCCAGACCAGAGAATGCTGCTGTTGAGTCCTTGGGCAAGACACTTAACCCGCTTTGCCTGCTGGTGTTGGCTGGAGGGACCAGTGGTGCCAGTGTTTAGCAGGCCTCACCTCTGTGCCCGAGGGCAGCTGTGGCCACATCGTAGCTCATCCCCACCAGTGTGTGAGTGTGTGTGTAAATGGGTTAATGGTTGTGTAATGAAGCGCCTTGGGGTTTTTTTAGAACACTAAGAAGGCACTATACAAATACAGAGCCCTGACCTGGCTCACTCTGGAAGGTACTGAAAATGTCAAGAATAAAAGTTCTGAAATTGTTGCATGTGAGCGCGAATTAGTGCAAAGAACATCATAACCATGTTTTTTATCGAGCATAAAACTAGTGTGACTTGAAAAAAAAAGGTCATTATATGTTGCCTTCAAGTTGTTTTCTGATCCTTTAGAGGATTATTTTACTTTTGGGACATCCATGACTGAAACTAGTTCACCCCACCAGGACCTCCATCACTGGGGACATCGATTAGATCCCTGACCTCCTAACTGTTGACATGAAACTCTATTCTCATCAGTGTTATTGACAGCTGCTGTTGTTTCCCTCTCTCTACAGCACCACCGGAGTCTGATGACTTTGCTTTTTACTTAGAGGACTTCAGCAGGTGCCTGGGGGTGCAGGATAAATCTTTAAGCCTGACAACCTCATGTGAAGACCCCCATCAGCGCTGGAAGTGGGTGAGCCGGGGTCGCCTCTTCAATCTAGGCTCCTCCACGTGCCTGGGTGTGACCACTGGGAACATCAACTTCAGTTTGGTCAATCCTCCTTTGGGTGTGTACCCGTGCGACCGAGAGCCCCCACGGGTGCAGTGGACCTGGAACTGTGCCGAGGTTCTGGATAAACTCAACAGTCTCATTCGGTCACCTGGGAACGTCTCCATTCCCTCGACGCCCAACAAATCCAAATGGAGATTATTTGGAGAAGACCAGGACCTGTGCTCCAAACCATATCGAGGTAGGTACAACTGGAATGAAACACATCTAAAATGTTTCATATTGACAAGCGATGGGATTTTCATCTAGGTTTATGACAAATATCTTTATAGAACAGTTTTAAATACACAAGTCCAGATTCCCATGAAGACCAGGACACGGCTAAATAAAAAAAACAAAAAAAAAACAATACAACAAAGCAAAACAACAACATGGACAAATTTAGTTGCTCAGGAAACTACAATTACAGTATAATAATAATAGGTTAGATTTATATAGTGTTTTTCTAGGCACTCAAAGTGCTTAACATTACTCAGACATTCACACCCTGTCAGCGATGGTAAGATACGTAGCCACAGCCATCTGGGGAGGTCAGACCGAGGCGAGGCTTCCATTTCCCGCCATCGCCCACTCTGACCACCACCAACACTGGCGATTCTGGTGAAGTGTCCTGTCCAAAGAGACCCTGGTGGGAGTTGGGATCAGTCTCAGTCCTCCGATACCTGGGCAACCCGTTCTAATGCTTCATAAAAGTTCGAAATCAGCACATCCACAAACAATTTTACCCACTTTTAATGAAAATGATATTCTGATCTGTATTTGCACTTAGACCGGGCAGCCTTGCCTTCTTCCGTTGTTTAAAGTGAGGACAGGATGTCCGTGTTACTAGAGTCAGTGTTGTATGTTTGGAGCCAGAGTCATAGCTAATTACCAAACATATTAAAAAATCTGCATGAGAGGTCAATAAGGCCTTAAAAAATCCTTCAAGGATTGCTTTGGATTCCCATCCTGGGTCCAGATTAAACCAATCAGAGAGAAAAATGGAGCTCACCGCAAGGTTTTCTTATTTCAGCCTTTTTTATGATAGAAGGGAACCTGAATGTTTACAATCTAGCAAACAAAGCTGAGCTGCTGGAATATTTAGCATCAGGTATGGCATAAAGTCCCCCAACACAGTGAAAGACTAGCAGAAAGCATGTGGAGGTGCACAAAAGCTGTGATTAAAACCTCTAATAAAGTCCTTTCACATTTAAATGGTGTTGTAGGACATTATAGACATAATTCACTATAAGTGATGTGTTTTTTATTTAGTTCAAAGTAAAGCACCTGTTCACATTTGCTGTTTCAATCAATCATCAATCAATCAATCAATCAATCAATCAGTCAATCAACCAATCAATCAATCAATCAATCAATCAACCAACCAATCAATCAATCAATCAGTCAGTCAATCTTTATTTGTAGAGTGCCTTCCAGGAGCCCATGGCGCTGAACATAAAATACAGTAAAAACACAGACAGCAATAAAAAGGAGGTGAAAACAACATACAGACCTAAAAGCACCATACAAAATGTAAACAAGGAGCATGAAAGCATACAACCAGGTCACATAAAAGCCAAACGACAAAAATGACTCTTCAAACGACTTAAAAACCTGCAGGGAAGGTGACAGTTTAATATCAAGTGGAAGCTCATTCCAGAGAGAAGGAGCCAAGACCGAGAAAGCCCGATCACCTCTAGACCTGCACCTAGTTTGTAGGACAGTCAGGAGCTCCAGATCAGCTGAACGTAGAGTCCGTGAGTATGCCTTTTTATTAATGCTGCCAAGTATGGTGGAGCACCATCGTAAAGAGACCGGAAGACAGCACGTAATGTTAAACTTAGCCCGAAAACCTACAGGGAGCCAATGTAATGAGGCCAGCACAGGAGTGATGTGTGTTGACCTCCTTGTCCCTGTCTGGCCACAAAGTTCTGAACCAACTGTAGACGTCTCAGTGCTGCCTGACTTAGCCCAACATATAAAGCATTGCACTAGGCAAGCCTGGATAAAACAAATGCGTGGAGCACAGACTCCATATGCGCACGAGACAACAAGGGCTTGATTCTGGTAAGCCACTAGACATCACCACATCTTACGCCTTTCTCAGTTCCTAATTGTATTCATTTATTCATTATTATTATTCATTACTTTTACTGCAACCATCCAACTATCTTCCTGTTAAATAAAGTATATCTCATTAACAGTGCTTGACTTCATTATTTTTTAGCTAATTTCAAACACAAAAGAAACACCTGTCATGTTTCAGTTCAACACTCCTCCTGAACCTTTGTCGTTCTGGTGGGAGCATCAACTCTGAGACCGTCAACGTGAACTCTAATGGGCCATTCCCATCTGTACCGGGTCGGCCCGGGCCGGGTAGCCCCAGTCGGCCCCAGCCTGGCCCGGTTGATTCCACACATCCTTGTCTTAAGCCCATGTGGGCTGATTCTACCCACCAATCAGAGGCTTGCTCTAATGGAAGGTGTGAGTTTGCTGTCAGCAGTGGGTGTGTTGGCCCTGGTCGGCCTGAAGCAGACCCCCTCGAGGAGAGGGCTGAGAATGAGCCTTGGTTGGCCCGGAAAAATTCCAGGCCACCCAGATATGTAAACAACCTACGCTACCCGGCCCGGGCCGACCCAGTACAGATGGGAATGGCCCGTTAGTAATAGGTAACAGGTCTAACTAGCCGTGGGTCAGAATTACCGCTTAATGTCCAGATGGAATTCATCCCGCGAGAAGTGTTGAACTTTACTGTTTACTGTTTTTTAAAGACACTTTATTAACTTTCCTCCTTGAATTGTTGCACCTGCAACAAGGCCGTAACGATCGACATCAGTGCTCGTGTGTGTTTCATTTTGTTGGAACTCTGCCATCACTAAGGTGAAAATCTAGAAACAGAAGCAAACCGATATTGATCCTTCCAATCGAGGGTTTGATCCTCAGTGTGTTGCAGATGTGCAGAGCATTTCCCCAGAGCCACACGTGGCCGTGCAGCGACCTGACCCAGAGAGCCGCTCCTTCGTGTGTTTCTGCCTCTGCGTGGTACACTCACTCACTGTTGTAGATGCCACAGCTGGATCCGATCAAAAGGGAGAGAAGAATGCGGCTTTCAGTGGATGTTTGAGGACAAGTGGCAGCCAGCCAGTGAGGACGCCAGGAAAAACACGGCCAGTGTTTGTAAACGGGCCTAAACACACAAAGTTGTCCTTTCCCTTGAGTGTGGTCGTTTTCAGATGTGATTTTCATTTTAGATTAAATCTAACATTGTGGTTTTTAAGCTTCTTTTCTGCCTTCGGTGCTGTTCTTACTGATGTTAAATGTCACGGTTGTTGGTAACGAGGGCTCAGTGGACTCAGGCTGCAGTTAACACAAGACCAGTAATTCTCTCCTCACCTTTTTTTTTACTGTCGTCTCTCTTTTTGCTTTCATGTGGCAGAGAAGCTGAATACTTTGCCTTTAACTTTCCACCACTAATCTTTGCAAGTTTCTTTTTGAAGTCGACCCACTGCTGCAGAAGAATTCCTCTGGCTTCAGTAAGTGGTGGAGCAGAGAGGGAATTCCGGAAGGGGGCTCCAGAGAAATGCCCTCCCACATTTAACATTTCTAGCCCTCTGTCCACTGGAGCAACACTTCAGGTCCATCCTCGTGCTCTGTCACTCCCTTTGTGCTTCCATTTTTTTTTGTAAGAGTGCCAAAGCCTTAGGATTAAAGCACCATTAGTACTATCCTGTTTCTGTTTGTTTTCGCACCCTTCATCATAAAAAAAGAGGAACTTTAAATCAGAATGTGGAACTGAATTGGGAAACAGTGGTCGGTGCTTTGACGTTGCTCAAAAGTGCACAAATTTGTGAGACATTTTGCCGTTGACTACTATGGGATTTTGGTGGAACAGGTGAGGAAGCCCCACCCCCTTTAGCTCAAGTATAAGTACTTCTAAGTACATTTTATTGAAATTCTTCAGTTTCCTTCATAATCCTGCTATACCGATGAGTCAGACTACCTTCGATTTCCTCCGTTTCATAGCTGATCAAGCATGTTTATTTTTCTAAAGAAGTATCTAATCTTCAGACTTCCTGTTTTGACTGTTGCATAATACTTTACTTTGTACCAATTTTGCACATGAACAAACATTTGCACTATTTAGCACAGCATGTAACACGCAGACGTTTAAAGTGTTTGTCCTGTTTGCTCACCAGAGATCTACACAATCCAGGGAAATTCTGATGGCCGACCCTGCCACCTGCCCTTCATGTACAATGGCAAGTGGTTTCATGAATGCACAGATGCAGGGCGTAACGATGGTCATCTCTGGTGTGCCACCAGCTATGACTATGACAGAGACCAGTACTGGGGATTCTGCCCCATTAAGAGTAAGTGTTCCCCTCACCTTTATGCTAATTTTATAGTTTTCTGTCGTGCTTTAAGCAGCTTTTTGTCCCTTTCTGTTGCTTCAGGCAGCAGCTGTGAGACATTCTGGGATACCCACCCACTGACCAACAGCTGTTATCAATTTAACATCCACGCCACACTGTCATGGAGCGAGGCCCGGATCAGCTGCCAGCAGCAGGGGGCAGACCTGCTAAGCATCACCAAGCTGCATGAGCAGGCCTACATCAGCGGTAAACCCAGATTACTCTCTGTTGTTTATTTCAGCCTTGCGTCATAGTAAATTGGAGAAAATAGCAACTGATAGTTTATTTACATGGCGCCAAGATTCACCAAGTTATCGCTTACATTTCACAGTACTTGTAAATAGGTCCCGTCCAACTCCAAATTCACACACTTCAATGAAATTTCAATCAAATTTAAGGATGTTTCTTTTTTGTAATACAGATAATTGATTTTATTTTGGATTTCAGTGGTATGCAGGTAGACTGCTGGAAATAGGCAGCAAGCCGCCCGCAACCCTGCATGGACAAGCGGGTACTGATAATGGAGGGATGACAAAAGAAGTGTCACAAAATGTTAATAAACTCTAAACACTACAGACAATGTCTTGGTAGTAAATAATGAAAGTTAAACTACACAGGATGTAAAATGTAGTCCAGCCAACAGACGGTTTTCTGTTTTATATTTATACATTTGAAAAAGGAGCGATAAATGTAAGAATCTGTTCTCACCCTGCTGGTTGGATTTATCAGGGCCTCGTATCTTTACCCTGACAGTTAGGCATCTAACAGCGGCCTGGGTGTGTCTGGCCCACTCGCCACCTCCCCTTTCTCTCCACAAGATGTGTTTATACACAGTCGAAGGACGGGACTGGAGCTCCAACAATCTTCTTACTTCAGGATCTCTCCTGTTCTCTGCAGCATAGCCTGCATACCACACTGAGTAGCTCTGACAGAGGATGCTCTCCATCATGTAGATGTTTATGAGCAGAGTTGAGAAAAAGGCCAGCATGTTTTAATTTCCTAAATAGAAGACTCTTTTGGGCTCTCTTCGTCAGACTGGAGGCCTTCAAAGTCCAAATGAGGTCTGGGCGAGGTTTCCCAGAATTTGGTGGAGCCCACTGTTTTCACATCTGCCTCTTTAGTGAGGAGTGGGATCTGTGTGGCCCCAAGTGTTTGCTTAGTGTGGTGTTCAGGACCAGACTGTTCAAACACCACTCAGACAGATGTTGGACTTCCTGCCTCATCGTTGTCACTGGTTGGTTCTACCACAGTGGTGTCATCTGCAACCATTATGAAGGTAATAAAGAGAAGAATAGAAATACAGTCCTATTTGAAGAAGATAAAAATGGCTGGACTGAGCACACAGCCCTGTGGCATTCCTGTGTTCAGGAGTCTGGTGGACAATGTCCCTATCATGACTTCTAGAGCCCGTTGGTGAGGAAGATCCAAACTTGTGAATTAAGTGAAATTAAATATGTATAAAGATCAAATTAATCTAGGCTGATCAATGGGATGAATTTCCATGTGCTGATTAACAAACTAGGACTTAAAAAATGATAGAATTGGGATTTAAGGGGATTCTGAGCTCCTGGGTGTTGGTCTTCCAGGGGCTCCCATCCTCAGGGGGGCAGCTGGATGTCTGGGGCTCAGATCACCTCCATATCACAGGTCTTGTGGGGTTGGTCTGTGGCTTCCCACACGCACTACTGGACACTTCAGTGGAAAAACCTGCACATACACACATAGGTCCTTACTAGGTGTTCTCACAAGTTTGGACTCAGCTGTTTTCAGACACCTTGGGCTGTGGTTGACACTAAATACTCTGTGATTTAATAGTTTGAATGCTGTAAAGCATTCAAACTATGGTTTTCCTGTTTCTCTTTATCGTTTATTATTCTGCTTCCGTGCGTTTTTTGGCATTTAACTACTTCCACAATTCTTCAGCTATTTACACAATTTTGGTATCAAATCGTTCAGCTTCTTCAGCTTATGCCGGCTATGACTTTTGGTATTAAAATATTTTACACTTTTTCAGATATTTAGCTTTTTCTGCGATTTTTGTTCCCATTGGAATACATGGGAAATCCTTCAAATCCTCCAATTTTTCACAAAATCCTTTCAGCTCTTTGAACTTTAACAAGTTGGGCTTACTTTAACCTAGAGATTTCATTAAAGCATTAAAGTGGTCACAAGACTTTCAGCTATTTCCGTATGCCTCTGGCTGTTAGCATCTTCTATGGTTTGTCTACAATCGCAGTTTATGTTTTAGGTACATTTTAGAAACGTTCAGAAATTTCTCCTCATCCTGCAATGGGAAAACATAGGGGAGCTGACACGACTTTGTTCCACTTCAGGCACTCTCCTGAGAGAACCATAGGTCCAATCAAAATGAGACTTGCATGGGATGAGATTTGACGCATTACACTACATCACCCAACATGTTTCTGCTGTCACTTGCTGATATCGCTTTAGCTCTGCCCTCTTAGCAGATCAACCTCACTGGCTCATCGAGGAGACGCCGGCTATGAATTTTGGCATTAATATCTTGTATGTAGTTTTTCAGTGACTCAGCTTTCTCTGAGCTTGTGGCCCATTGGAACACATTCAAAATCCTTCACCTGCTTAATCTTTCCCAAAAAAACCTTACAGCTGTTTTATCCCACTCAACAACTCAGGAAGCCGAGTGGTAAAATCTCTGGGCTTCCATGTAGGAGATCAGGATTCGATTCTCACTGGTGCCTAAAAGATATTTTCACTTTAGAAGTTTATTTTAGATCCTTCTTAGCAAAATAAACATAAGCTGGTGAATCTCATTTAATGATTCAACCTAAATACACTGTTTTACCCCCCACCCCCCACCTCCCCACATACCCTTTAAACTGGAATAATGCCTACAGAGAATGTTACAACTGGACCAGACTTGCTTTGTTTTATCACATTATATCACCCAACATATTCCTGTGGTGGCTTGTTTATACAACTTTAGCTCCGCCCCCTTACAGAAATGTTGCCCTGAATAACACATGCATCATCCTATTCACAATAAACTGCACACAATTGATTTTTCTGTACCAAAAATTTGATCAATGGGATTTTTGCTGAATCTGGAACAGCGCCCCCCTGGACACAATTAAACTTTCATTACTTCTACAAACAAGCTTGTAACTAAACAATGAGCGTCCTCACACATCATCACGAAATGCATTTGTGTGATTTATTGATAAAATCCTTTTAGCTCCGCCCCCTTAGTGTAATTTGGCTCTAGATAACACATACTACATCCGATTTACATCAAATTACAAAGACATGATCTTTTCAATCGAAACCCCCCCCCCCCCCCCCATCTCAATTTCATTTAAATTTCATAACAGACAGCGCCCCCTACATACATTCAAAATATAGTAACTTCTGAAAACAAGGTCACAAATGATTTAAAGCTTCGTTGTGTCATCAAACAACACAGTACACAACACATTCATGTGATCATTTGTTAAAATTACTTTAGCTCCACCCGCTCGCAAATTGTTTGCTCTAAATAGTACCCGCTATGTTTCTTTCACTCCATACATCAAATGTATGATCTTAGTCAACCTTAGAATTGACAAGTGGGATTTTTTTATTTAAAGACAGCGTCCCCTTTATTGATTAAAACTTTATTCAATTCTACAAAAAAGTCACAAACCAAACTTGATATATCTGTTCACACACCATCAATTAACACATTTATGTGATCATTGGTTGACTTTGCTGTAGCTCCACCTCCTTACAATCACTTTCTGCAAATTTAGGTGTTTAGTGTTCTTTTCCACCCAGTCTTTGAACTACTTTAATAATGCTTTTGCTTTTTTACTTATGCTGTGCTCCTCTTAAACTGTGATTAGATTTTCTCATTTCAGTGAATCAAATTTTCTAAAACATTTTGAATCAGCTGAGCTCAGTTCCATCTAACGAACCTAAATGACATGTATTTACCTGTTTTGGTTTTAAGGTACGCTTTGACAATATTCAACCTCTTGTTTTAATCCAATCCAATCCAATCCAATTTTATTTATAAAGCGCATTCACAAGGCATTACAACCAAACAAGGCGCTGTACACTAAAAATGTTAGTTAATTAAACAGGCGGTATACAAACATGTCGAACACAGATAAAAGATAAAAAGGAAATACAGCAAAATTCCGAAAAACTCACAGCTAAAAATCAATAGGACACAGGGAGAATAAAAATGAGAAAAAACATTTTAAAAAAGAACCTCAATAGTACGGAAGTTGATATTGTAAAGTCCATTTTTGAACAATGCAGATGTAAGTGACGGTCATAATTATGTTGTATAAGCTAGGTTGAAGTAGTGAGTTTTCAAGCGTAATCAGTAAAGCAGTTCTATTGTTTACCTTTAAATCTTTACAGCTAAACATTATACTCTTGAAAATGAAACTCAAACTATTCTCCATGAAAATTCTTCTGTCTGAACGTTTCAGCTGTCAGCGCGTCTACGTTCACGGATTTCTGTTTTCTGCAGTTTAGATTTTTTCTCTCCATTCTTCACCTGCAGCTGTTGGGCTGTATTACTCTCAGTCATCTTTGCTCCTTTAATCTTTAAATACATTCAGCTGAGTTTAAGCTTCAGTTCAGCCGTTCAGCAGCTTCTGCAGTCTGTTGCGGCATGCAGCATTCAAACAGCATTTCTGGCAGAAATGCAATTCATCTAGTTATCGTGTGCTTTCCATTACATTATTATGATTATATATTCATTTGTGGTTTGTCACTGGGATATCTCGGTTCTGTTGTGTTATTTATTCTCTTTCTACAGGTCTTGTATTCTCTCGTTTTTGTTGTTTTTCCCCATCTATCTTCCGTTCTTCTTCTTCCTCATTTCCTTTTCATTTCTGTCTCCATGTCTAGTGGGACTACAATAAACCAAATAGCAGTTCTAAAAAAATAAAAGAGATAGGGTTTCATTTATCTCTCGGTTTTAAGCTCAGTGGTGAGATTTCTGTCACCTGTAGGGTTTAGCATATGTATGTATTTTGGGTGCTTTTTAAGCTCAATGTACGACACTACACTTGACCAACAAGATGTGAATTTCTATATAAATATGGAAATCCAGTCTGATTGATCTTTGAATGTTTAACCAGAAGAATTTGGATTCTTTGTTTATTCAGGGATCGTAAGACACTTCGTATCAATTCAGACAGTCAAGTCTATAAAAGTAAGCAATTAAAAACGTGACAACTAGGAAACTCTTTATGTGATGAATGAGTCTAAGTGGATGGAATGTGAGGGGTGATGATGTGTGAATGTGATCTTATCAGAACCTTCGTATCTGGAGAAACTGAGTGGGAGTGAATTTGGTCTGCTATAAACTATAAGTGATGGTTTATAAAACCACACCAGACGCAATCTGTCGAGTCTACGTACCCTTATCGAAGACTCTCTTTTGGATCTGAGATGTCTGGGAGTCCGTGGACCCCACGGTACCGAAGTCCGTAGAGAAATCGCAGTACGACCAGGTCAGTCCAGAGTCGTCCCCAGGTCACGGCAAACAGCTGGACTTGTTTTGCGTCTATGGAAGGACTCTTGGGGAGTCGGAGCTGGTTCAGCTTTGTTCTGAAGGAACCGTTTGCGGTATCAGCTGTAGCGTGCAACAGGTTTGACATCTTGTCAAAGATGCGACGGGAGACGAGGCTTCCTCCGATGGCCAGTCAGAGTTAGGCTAAACTGAATCACTCAGGAAGTAATTCTGTTTTTCTGACAAATCAGAACTTGGCGTGAAATTGGGTTTTGCCAACAACCTCAGACACACACCTCCCTCAGATACGAAGATGCTGATTTTGTGGATAAGACAATATCCATGTGCAGTGACGTTAAGTTTAACTTGCGTCATGGAGATATGGTGATTGTGTCTTGTCCAGTCAGTGCGCTGATTAAATATATGGGTCTTATATTTCATTTCATCCTTATTAATCTTTCAGTGTAATAATAATATTAAGTTCAACTTCAGTAATTTAAGCACAGATTAATCAAAACATTTCATTTAACCATATTGTTCATTTCATTTTATGATTTAATTATGAAAGTTCATCCGTCTTGTTCTGTGAAGCAAAGCAGTCTTAGATAAGAGGAAGCTGTAGAGAGACCTTGTCAGCAACAGTATCTTTCTTGCAGATTAAAGGCACCAGTTAAGACATGTCTCCATATTACCCGATACTGAAGAGGTCACACTGTAGGTGGAAAACGGACCATTTCTGGAGGCTACACACCTCAAAACACCAAAAGACAGAAGCGTGGAAATGTTTTTATGACAAAATTCCAGTTACATGCATATTTGTGGCGACATAGCTAGAAAGTGATTTTGTTATTCTTTTACAAAATGTAAAACACTGTAAGCTGTTTTCGTCCCTGTGGAAGTATCCCTCTCTAAAGGAATATGTCTCCTTTTGCTTTAGGTATACTGAATAGTTACGATTCTGTTTTGTGGATCGGCTTGAATGACTTGGACCTCAGTGGGGGCTGGCAGTGGTCTGATTCCTCACCCCTCAATTATCTCAACTGGGAAACAGGTTAGCCTGCAACAACTAAATGTCCTCCCTCCTCTCAGGTCACACATCCACATGGCAGCTTTTCATTCCGCCAAACCCACAGAGTCTTTTTGGAACATTAACGATTTTCCTACATATGTGTTCTGTACTGAACTACAGACGAGCCGAAACATGTTGATGAGGAGAACTGCGTTGTTGTCCGGTCTGAGTCATCGGGTCGTTGGAAAAGCCGCGATTGTTCGGAAGCTCTCCCGTATGTCTGTAAGAAGAGTCCCAACGCCACCCTGGATCCCTTCAGTACTGGTCTGTGAACAAAACACGTCTGCTCTAGTTTTATCACACAGCTGAGGTCTGGATTCTGATAATGAGGTGTTTCTTTCTACAGATTCATGGGCAGATGATCATAAATATGACTGTGATAATGGCTGGCAGAATTTCCAGGCTGGATGCTACAAACTCACTTCAGAGATGATGGACTGGAACACAGCTGAGAAAACCTGCCAGAAGATAGATGCCAACCTGGTCAGCATCCACACGGTACCTGAGCTGGAGTTCATCATGCGCAACCTGACAAAGGGTGATTTTATTTTTACGTTAACTCCGGAGTTACTGTCAATGTGTGTCCAATCAAAAGAGCTAAATCATTCCTTTACAATAGTCATAATTAAGTAGATGTCTCGACTGATTTAAGGGGTTCAAAATGTGTTTTAAAAGTGGAATACTGTCATAGTTAAATGACAAGTACTCCTGAAATATTTTAATCTTGTGGCCAAAAGTAGAAAATTACCGTAATTTCTGGACTATAGAGCACACCTCAATATAAGCCGCACCAACAAAAAAAAAAGGTTTTCTACACACACACGCCACACTCAAACATAAGCCGCGGCGCAGCAGCCACATGCAGGTCTCCGGCGCACAGTGCATGTATGGCCGTAACATAAGATAATTAGACAGAAAGATGCTACACGGAGGTTTTTCCTTGTTGTTTTAATTCAACAAAAGGAATTTTAAACACGGGTGAACGTGCCTGCAAGTTTAGAAAAGAAAACGGCGCTGATAGCATTCATATATCTGGATGGTTATAACATAAAAACAGCACTGACACGTTATTACCGGTAATTTGCATGTTTAGAAGAAAAGAACTGTGCTGACACAGCATTAATAAGCCCCGGATGATTAGAAAATAAAAACTGCACACAAAACATGCCTGGTTAGAATTCTTCATGGAAAGAATTCTTCGTCGTGCCGGCTGCTTGCATGTGCTAAATTAAAATGAACACTTTCTTCGATTTCCGCTTTTGACTTCCACCTGTTTCACTTTCTGCTAAAGCGCCCCCTGCAGGTGAAAGAAAATCTTCAGTAAAGCCGCACCTCATTACAAGCCGCACGGTTCAAAGTGTGGGAAAAAAGTAGCGGCTTATAGTCCGGAAAATACGGTAGTTGGAATGAATGAAAACTATTGATTTATTTTGTTTTTTCAGACATCGATCAGTTATGGTTAGGGCTTCATGACACCGAAATGCAGATGAACTTCCAGTGGACAGATCACACACCTGTAATCTTCACCTTCTGGCACCCGTTTGAACCCAATAACTTCCGAAACACTCAGGAAGACTGTGTCTCCATGTGGGGTCCAGTGAGTAAATGCTTTGCCTTCAGATCATGACAGGATCTCATCAGTCTGTATTCATCAACCATTTATGATTAATTCATTAATTTATTTGTTAAATGCAGGAAGGCCGGTGGGACGACAGCCCCTGTAATCTGAGCCTGCCCTTCATCTGTAAGAAACTAGGAACTAAGAGTGATGGAAAACCACAGCAGCAGGACTGCAAACAAGTAGGACTTCAATTCTGTTCATTTTTTGGAAATAGTTCCAATGTTCAACCGGAAAATCATGATGTCATTCTGATTTAAACTGTGAAAAAACTCCTTTTACCCCCAAATACCAAATGGTATATATATATATATATATATATATATATATATATATATATATATATATATATATGGATGGATGGTATATAATGGGAGGAGCCAGTTGAAGTGGCTCAGGCCTCTGGTCAGGATGCCTCCTGGACGCCTCCCGGGTGAGGTTTTCTGGGCACATCCAAACGGGAGGAGACCTAAAGGCAGACCCAGGACACGGTGGAGGGACTATGTCTCTCACCTGGCCAGGGAACGCCTTGGGATTCCCCCGGAGGAGCTGGCCCAAGTGGCTGGGGAGAGGGAAGTCTGGGCCTCTCGACTTAGGCTACTGCCCCCGCGACCCGACTTCGGATAAGCGGATGAAAATGGATGGATGGATGGTATATAACGCAAGGGCACAGATATTTGGTCACCATGGTGTGCTGAATGAGCCACTGGCAGCAGCTTTAACCTTTCTCTTGATACTTTTTGAAATAGTTGACACAGCAGCCACATATATTTAGTTTCAGATGAGATTTTTACCTAAATGCTGCTGAACTTTGGGGCAGCAGCTGCACCGGCATCATTTAGCCTTCAGAGATTCCTGGATTCTTTTTTCCACGATCAACATCCTCAAGATTTATTTATTGAAGTTTCTATTATCATTTTCTATTTAATGTGGATTTTCTGAACCCCTTTATCACTGATGTCTGCAGTCTTGCTTGAAGCATCACTGTTGTTTAAACCTGTTCAGCTGCTTGCTCTTCACAGGTTCACTCCTCCACATCTCTGCCCTTCTCACAGACATGCCACACTGAAACTACCTCCAGGAAACCCTGTTTTCTTGGCTTGATTTGTGGCTTTAGTAAATCCAAAAAGAGAATATTACCTTCTTCTTCTGAAACTCATGAAAGCATCTGTTTGTGGTTTAAAAGCTTGCAGTATGCTCCACCTGAGGTTAAGCCCTCATAGCTATGAAAACGTTGGCCATCCTCATGGACATGTATCCTTGTTTATTTCCTGGGCCTTTTATGCCCGGTACCTTCTTTAAAAATACAAGTAACTTAAATCACATTATCACTTGTTTATTTCTCCCATGTGGACCAACAGGCTGTAGTAGTGATGTTTTCAGATGTAGTACTGCATCTGTATGGGCTTCACACCTGTATACCTAGGAGTTGTAGCCTTTTTTGTTGACTAAGAGTGATTTTCTACGGAGGCTTTCTTGAACTTGGTTGACTCCAACATTTAATGTTGCAACAGTCAAACAATAAAAATGAGTTGTAGTGAGTGTGTGATGTTGGCTCACACAACACTAAACCTTAGCTCAGTAAAACTGACTGAATCATCTCAAGTTTGTGATGGCTATGGTCCATCAGCGGTGTCGGCCATCTTTACTCAGATTAATGTTAATCACTTGCTGACCGCGTGAAATGATCACTTTCTGAGGTAGTCTGTCACTGACGTTGCACAAGAGACATCTCACTAACAGTTTACTTCAAAAGTGAATATGAAAGATTTGAGCTCGTGTATTTCTTTAGTACAAAACAATGTGACATCCCCAAATTATAGCTCAGTGTCTGCAAAACCAGCCGAGTTGTGCTAATTCTCTGATTATTGGTGTTGATTTGCTGCAGCAGCAAGTTGTAGATGTCTTCTCTATCATTTTCATGACATTAGAATCATTTTCTCCAGTGGCAGAGCTCTGTGTCTGTACACGTCCACAACTTTAGCACTTAAGCTGGCTGGAGTCAGTAAAAGCAGAGAAATCTCTGTGTGCAGGCTTGTTTGTCTCCGTCTGCGACTGGCTTTTATTTCACATGAAAACAAGCAATCTTTGTACTTTTACAGAGGGCAGTTTGAATGTTTCCTTAAAATCTGATGATGAGTGTTTCTGTCTTTAGATCCGCATGCACATCTGGATTTCCAACAACACTTCTGACTTATTCCCTTCTCAGACAGGTTTGTTTTTTTCAAGGGTGTTTTATTCTATTTCACCTCCTCAGGGCTGGAAGTGGCACAGTCCGGCTTGCTATTGGGTCGGAGAAGATCTGCTAACCTTTGATGAAGCCAAAAAATCCTGCGAGGCTCAGGGAGCGTCCCTTGTTACCATTACTAACAGGTTAATACAACACACACACACACACACACACACACACACACACACACACACACACACACACACACACACACACACACACACACTGACCCTAACCTTCTCACCTGTACAGATTCGAGCAGGCCTTTGCTAACAGCCTGGTGTTTGGCCGCTCCGGCGATTCCTTTTGGATCGGACTCCACGATCAGGACAGTCACGGCCTGTTCCGCTGGCTCAGTGGAGATGAGGTGTCCTTTACCAACTGGAATCGAGACCAGCCAGGTGAGACACACACACGCTGGTGCGGTGTGAAGGGCAGCTGTTTACTACCACACTGAGATCATGTGACCATAGTTTGAAGATTATCAGTTAGCTTTTCTGCCAATGAAAAGATAATTGACCAACATTTGACATTCCCTCGTGTTAGCCACCTCTCCTGCTCTGCCTGACACGTTCCTTTGAAGATCTTTCTTTTGTTGTTTAAAAACTTGAGACACACGAGGAGCAGGAACATCTCACTGGGGTGAAGGACCTGAATGTGTTGCTCCACCCCAGAGGAGGCAGAAAAAAGACAGATCCAGCTGTGAGCTCTGTGATGTCTGGAGTTGGCTGCTTTCTCGATTTCACTGATCTTTTTTTCCAGTCTCAGTCTTATTAGTTTGAGTAGCTTCTATCTCCTTTTTATTTCCCTGTTCTTCCTTCTGTGTGATTAGTTTGCCTCCTCGGAGGATCATTAAAGTTCAATCCGCTCTGCTGCTGAGGAGTCTCTATTTCCCAAAGCACCAAGGTTCATTTCTATTTGGAGACAATGTTGGAGTTAATCTACAATGAAGGAAGCAGATTGATCTCAGGGCTTCATTTAGATTCATTTAATCCACAAACCACAAAAACAACATTTGCACTTGTAGCTTTATTTTTAACATTTTACATGAACAGGTAAATGGCTGCATTCATGTTTTAGAATCAGCTTTTCTTGATGATGAAAACCGATGAGAAGAACATTCATTCACCGACTGTTTTAAACAAAAACTCAAAACTTTTTGAGTTTTCCTTCAAATACACTTTATTGAAATATTCAGTTTGAGTAATTAAACAGATGGAGACGGTTTTATGAGCTACTTTTCAACATTTTATGATGCGTTAGAACAGCTCAGTCATGTTAGCGATGATGTTTTTTCTCCATAAGGAAAAATGAAAAACAGACCAGTCATTTATAAATAAGTTGTGAAAGACGATTGGATATTATTTGATTATACAGATTTTTTTCACTGACTTCTTTATCATCTCCCCACTCACATTTCACTCTGCATCTCTTTTAGTCAGCATCCATGGTGGCTGTGTTTCCATGGCGACAGGCTTTGCAACAGGTCTGTGGGAGGTGAAAAAGTGCTCATCAGCAAAGGCCAAATTCATCTGCCGTCAGAACCAGAACGCGTCCCTGAGCCCGGAGCTGCCCGTCCCTCAGCCCACCCCGAGTCTCAGCGGTTCCTGTCCCACCAGCTGGAAGAGCAACGCTGACCTGCGCTACTGCTATAAGGTTCCCCCCCTGTTTTCAGTCTGACAGTTGTTTATAACTGACTCAGTGTTTTCACTGCCCACAGGCCTGGTATGGTATCGCTGTAAGACGATGTGTTGGGATTAAATAAATCCTTTTATCTCCCATCCTCAGGTGTTCCACTCCTCCCAGGTGGAGCAGAAGGAAAGTTGGCTGCAGGCTCACCTGTTCTGCCGGAGACATGGAGCCAACCTGCTGAGCATCAGCAGCCCAGAAGAGGAGCAGTTTGTTCTGCAGGTGCTCCATGAAGCCTTTGGGTGGGTTTGAACTCAGAACCAGCTGAAGTTTAACTGGAATGACTCAAAGGAGCGTTGTGGTGTTATTATTTCCTTTATTCGTTCTCTTATCCCTGTCATGGAACATAATTAAAGGTGCGATTAGCTGGAAAACCATTTTAATGAGTATTTCTGATTATAATCGGTCACTTTGAGTTTTTCATGCAGGCTGAACATGAAAATAGTCTCCTACACCTATCTCCTGCATTAGCTTCTGATAGAAAACAGACGGTGAAACTCTAGGGTTAGAAAGTCGTGACAGATCTACGTCACACTGTCACTAACATTCATGGACTCACCCATCTTGACTCTCAGTTGGGGAGGTTGTTGTTTGTTTAGCATCCAGGAAACAGCAGAGAACGTCTCAGCTAGTAGAAGCTAGCCGTTAGCATCAGTAACACACCACACGGCAAAACACCTTCAGGCTTGTGCTATTAGTGGAGATAAAACATCAACGTTGCAGAGCAGACTGAGTCAGGGGTAGAGTTGTGTTGCTGTTATCCAATCAGAGGCAAGATAGCAAAATATCAGGAAATAAGACTCCAAATACTGTCATCTGAAGCTCTTCTTAGATGTGGCATTAAATTAAAGTCCCATAGTTGTCACACACACTGGTGTGTGGTGAAAACTGTCCTCCGTATCTGACCCATCCCCCTGGGGAGCGGTGAGCTGCCGCTGTGCTCGGGAACTATTTGGTGGTTAAGCCCCCCCAATCCAACCCCTTACTGTCAAGCAGGGAGCATTGGGTCCCATTGTTAAAGTCTTTGGTATGACCCGACCAGGAAATGGCCACTGAGAAGGTAACGTCAGGTGTGTTTGTGACAGCCTCATCACCAGTGTTGGGCAAGTTACTTCAAAACTGTAATGCATTATTTATTACTTGTTACCCTCATTTTAAAGTAATTCATTACATTACAATCTTACTGATTTTAAAATGTAAGGCATTACACTACTTTTGCATTACTCTAAGTTACTTTCAACAAAACAACTTCAGTATGAGTTTGGTAATCTGATGCCTGGTGAACTCATGACACATCCGGTGGAAGGTGATGTGGTGTCTGAGCTAGGATTGCTGTTAAAAACAGATCTTTAGAAGGATTGTTTATGAAATAAATGAAACAACAATCTGTACTCTCAGCACGATTAACTGAGCAGGGAGTGAGGTGGTGGGGGCTCCAAGTCTATTTAACCTTGGTCCCCAAATGCCTTGATACGGCCCTGGATGTGGGACTGACATCTGGGGTGATCTGATTCTATCACATGTATAAATATTAAATGCTTATATATTATTGCTTTTCACTGGTAAAAATGTGTATTGGGGATAAATCTACTTACTTTTTCTCTTTTTCTTGATTTTATTTGAATAATTTCCGGCCCTTTCTCTCTCTAACCTTCCTGCATGCTGCATGTTTTCTCCGTCTTCCAGAAAAAACTGTTTCCTAGACTTCCTACTTTCTAACGATCAGCCAAAGGGATCTTCACATGCGCGGCGCTCCAGCAGCAATGAGTTAAAATCACCGGGGCCCAGATTAACTCAGATGAGGCAAAGCACATCAGAAAAGTACAGAATACAAGAGAACATGCGCTGATATGAACGATCGCAGGTGAATTATTTTGTTTTAGTCGAGCGATTTTGTGAATGTTACAGCGACCGCGTGGAGGACGCAGCTGGAGTAGTTGAGCCGTTGCCGCTGCGTCCTCTCTGCCTGCAAAGCTGAGTCCATAAATGACGTAATATATGCAGATACTGGATCTTTTTTCGGGTTTCCCGCAATTTGAATTTTTAAGAAACGCATCTTGATTCTGGGTTTAAAATGCATTGTAATTACTGCGTTACTGACAATTGTACCGAGTAAATATCACCATTTTCTTTCCATGTAATGCCTTACATTACCACATTACAGCAAAAAGCAATGCATTACAGTAATTAATTACTTCTGTACCGCATTACTCCCAACACTGCTCATCACAGAAATACAGACAGAGAGCCCCCACAGAAACACGCATGAACGCTGTTACCATGGTGATACCGTTGTCTTTAGGGAGTCAGAGGAACACGAGCAGCACTGGTTTTGGATTGGACTGAACCGCAGGAATCCCATGGACAATGGCAGCTGGAGGTGGAGCGATGGACTTCCTGTGAGTCCAAACCGGACAAAAGCGTTTGTTCATTTCAACATTAACTGATTGAACGCGAGCCACTTACTCTTGCTTGTGTCCCAGCTGACGTACCAGAACTTTGGTCGCTACCAGTACAACATACGGCAGTGCGCTGCAGCAGACTTGGGCAGCATGACCTGGCTGGCCATGCACTGTGACCATAAGTTAGACTGGATCTGCAAGATTCCCAGAGGTATGACTTTACCAGAGTTTTCCCACTGCAATAAAAACTTTATAGTCATTACAGAAGCAGTCTATCTTGAGAAAGCCCAGCTTGCTTGTTGGCCGTTGCTATGTAATCTAGCTAATAGGTTTGCTTTTGTGTGTTTTCAGGAAGTGTTGAAAATGTACCAGAAGCAACCGAAGGTATCAATTCTTTATTTTTGTCCTCTGTGCATACAGAAATTATTTCCTGTTCATTTGTCTGATCACCCCCCCACCCCCCACCCCCACCTCTCCTGTCTCAGGCACCAGCTCTCCAGAATGGGTTACCTTCCAGGAGGCCGATTACAAGTTTTTTGACCATCGCACCACTTGGGACCAGGCCCAGAGGATCTGCTCCTGGTTCGATTCCTCAGTGGCCTCGGTCCACTCAGCGGAGGAACAGGGTTTCCTCACCAGCACTTTAAACAAGGTATTGCAAGGTTTCAGCAAATTTCAAGAATGTGTTCATTTATTTACGGTAATAAAAAACGTTCCACTTCACCCTCAGATGGTGAAGGTCGGAGACGACAGCTGGTGGATCGGGCTTCACACCTATGAGAATGACAGGCGTTTCCGCTGGTCCGACCACTCCATGCTCAATTATATTTCATGGGCACTCGGCAAGCCGCAGCCAATCAGCCGTGACCGCAAATGTGTTCACACGTCCGCTAGCAAAGGTACGATCAGCTGGAAATAATCCTTGTCAGAACAACCCAAGCACAGCAGATTTGTCATACGGGGATTTTTTCACAACCAAACAGGAGACTGGGCAGATCGGAAGTGTGACTCTGACCTGCCTTACATCTGTAAGAGGGTGAATGTCACCGGGACCATTCCTCCTACTCCATCATCCCCTCATCCACCGGCCGGCTGTCCTGCTGGATGGTCTTCCTTTCAACACAAGGTGCATCTGAGTGTTCATAGTCCTCCAAACCTTTTTCCTGCACCTGATGCAACCAGATAACATGTGATTACACTGGCTGTGCTTGTAGTGCTTCAGAGTGTTTGATCAGTCACCTCTGGTCACCTGGACTGCAGCAGAGCTGAAATGCAAGACTCACGGCGGCGTGTTGGCTGTGGTGTCCAATCATCTGGCTCAAGGTAATTCTAGCTTGAAGCCAGAAGATAAAGGAGGAGTTTCTTCACATCCTGATGTGACTGACTTTTTTCCCCCTCACAGCTTTTCTCACCATCTTGATGAAGAATGTCAGCAGCGACCTTTGGGTGGGTCTGACCTCAGACTCTAAAGGTCACTTCCAGTGGGCAAAAACTGGGCTGCTCAGCTACACCAACTGGGCCCCCGGAGAACCAATCGACAACAGTGGACCTCATCACAACAAGACACCGGTACTACTTCTGCTATTGAAAGTGCTGGATCATAAGAGATCAAGCACCTTTAGAGAGGTTCTGGTTGGGATTCTCTCTCGTTTTTTTGTCCTTGTTCACTCCTCACAGCTCTGGAAAACAACAAGCTAATTATACATAAAAACACATAGTTATACTTTAATAGTGAGACATGATGTTTGGTTTTGGCAAATCACACTTATGACAAAAGTCACACAATCACTTCTCTATAAACATCTGCAGGTGGTTTTATCTGATTATACAGGTGTAAAAGCCCCCCCCCCCCTTTGGAGCACTGTAACCCAGGTAGACTTTAGAGTAGAAACATCATTTCTTTATGAGTTTTAGAGCTTGGTTTATGCTTGACGCATTTACTTTCCGCTTGGTGATGCGGCTCATGGATGGAACGCGCTTCACAACTTGCAGCGTTTATGGTTCATGCGGCTTGTCTCTGTGGTGAGCCAAAATTCTCCCAAACTGTAGGGGGCAGCATGGAGCTCTACGGCATGCATCCAACACTACACCATAGTAGAAGTAAAAATTACTGTTTACAACATGGCATTCCAGCATTTTTTAACAGCGTCCTCGTCTTTTCCGACAGTGCGAGCTATTTCTCTCCAATAATTATTAACAACATGTTGATAACGGTGATCTCTGAGAGCTGAAGCATACAAATGTCTGTATTTACTAACCTCTGCCATATTAGTTCTTGCCGGTCCGCCACGTTTTTCCACGTCCGACCGTCCGCGTGGTTAGAAAATTTCCTAGGTGTGCGTTGCGGAAATTTTGGGCCGTGCGGAGGCGCGGTGGAGGGGCGTGGTTGTTAAAATGACGCAATTTCGCCGTGCGGACCTCGCGGATGCGTCAAGCATAAACCACCTTTAATGGTTCATGCGGCTTGTCCCTGCAGTGAGCTGATATTCTTCCAAACTGTAGGGGGCAGCATGGAGCTCTACGGCATGGCTCCAACACTACACCATAGTAGAAGTAAAAATTACTGTTGTTTACAACATGGCATTCCAGCATTTTTAACAGCATCCTCATCTTTTTCTGACAGTGCGAGCTATTTCTCTCCAAGAATTATTAACAACATGTGCGGAAAGTCTGGGCCGTGCGGAGGTGCGGTGGAGGGGCGTGGTTGTTAAAATGACGCAACTTTTCCGCGCGGAGCCGTGCGAACCTCGCGGACGCGTCAAGCATAAACCAAGCTTAAAGGAGTTTAAATGCTTCACAGAAAGTTGAACGTATTTGTCTCATCTGGTATTTTTGATACGCTTGATTCCTTCTGCACTATCAAATTGAAAAAATTGTGAGTTTTGATTTTATCTCAGCTTAGATTTTTACAGTGTTGATGTTGGAATTTTAGGCAGCAGCTGGGTTGGCACCCTTCAGAGTTTCTTTTTGCTGTTCTGTTGGTTTCACCATCGCTTCAGGGAAACTGTGTGGTGATGATTCACGGAAACCCGCCAAAGAACACCGCCATGTGGGCCTCCAGAGCCTGTGAAATGGAGAAAAATGGCTTCATCTGTCAAAAGCAGCAAGGTATGGCATTCAATACCAACCACAGAGCCAATCAGGTGTGCAGAAGAGTGGAAGTAAAGTGTCATGTTTTATTTTAGATCAAAGTCTTCCTCCAGTACCTGCCTACATTCCTCCCTCCCTGTCTAAGGCTGTGGAGCTGGGTGGGGTGACATACCGGGTTGTGAAGAAGCCCCTGGACTGGACCGGCGCGCTGTACATCTGTGAATCTTTAAACGGGAGCCTAGCTGTGGTGAAGGATCCCTTCCAACAGGCAGATCTCACACTGCTCATCAACACCCTGCGTCAGCCTGCCTGGATCGCTCTCTATAATTACGGAGTAAGCTTCTGAATGTACAGCATTGTGCAAATGCTTAGAGTTTTTATGCTGTACTTCCTTTATGCCTTTGTGTTTAAGTGGTCATAAGGAATAGTTCTCTAGATGTATATATATATATATATATATATATGTATATATATATGTATGTATAGCATCGTATGCAGTCCTGTAACAGTAACATCTAGAAGGTTGTTAGACAGTCTGGAGAGTTTTTATTGGTCTACTTTATTTGAAACGGATGACGTCTAAGTCTAAGTCTCCTCCCCCTCCAGTCGGCTCACGGGTCCCCGGAAGAACGAACAAATGAATGCAAGTCAACGGGGCTAAAAGACCTATTTTCTAACCCGCTGTGCCTTACGCCCTGGATCACACATATGTTGCACTTCTATTTAAAAGAAAACTAATGATGGGCGTTTCAACCACGCCTGTCACGCACTTTGAGATGCATCAGCTTGTAAAAGTTCCTAATTAGCATGACTACAAATTAGACACCAGCACATCGTCTCCACATAATCTCTCCTCCCCTAGCGTAGCTGCTACTTACCACATGGCCAGATGAATGGTGGTCTCTTTCCTCCTGAACTTACAGCACTTTCCCTCTGCTTTGGTTCGAGGACATCAAGTTCATGAAGCACATTTGTAGTCCTGGACTCATTTTCACACAAAACCTAAAATAACATTTCCCCCGTTAGAAAATAAGAGCTTTCTTATTATCAAAATGCATCTTCAACATTCACGCACATCATCTGTGAAATCCATGAATCCAGAATTAGCCCCAAAGACTTGCATTCATTTTTTGTTCTTCTGAGGACCCATGGGGCGTGACTTAGGCTCCTACATAAAGATGTTGGAATTCTAGTCATTTTGGTCAAATGTTCACAGAATTATGATTTATTATCTTTTAGTCTGAGAAAAACAGCTAAAGATGCACCTCGTTTGCTCACATTAGGGACGGAGTTTCACCTGGTTAGGTGATGAAGAGGTGAAATACTCTGACTGGAAAGAAGGGGAGCCCAATCAGATGGCTGGATGTGGTCACATGACCACAACAGGCCAGTGGACTATGACTCCCTGTGATGCTAAACTGGAGGCTGCCATATGTCAGATTAATAGTACGTATGCCTACAAGAAAACTATCTATATAGAGTTCACAAGGTTTAAAATGCCCTTTAACGAAGTCCAGACGTAACTTCATCCCGGTTTCTACCTCTGTGCAGATGAGCCCATGACTCACCAGTGGATCTATCCTGGGCAGTGTCCCAACTCTGCGGGAGAGTGGGCCTGGGTTCCATTCAGAAACCACTGCTACGCCTTCAACCTGCAACTTCTCAAGCTGCAGCAGGATGCACGCACGTCCTGCAAAAAAAGTAAGGAAGCAGCTCCGAACCTTTACGGCTCTAAAACCAACGAAGCACTGCCGACCTCCACATCCAACACAACCAACACAAAGCATCCATATGCATCTGTCTACATTCAGGATGGTTCTATTGAGCATGTGCCACAATAGTCCAGTTTCACTGTGTGATTGCCTCCTCCACCTCTGTCCTTCTTGTTTTTAGTGGGAGCAGAACTTGTTTCCATCTTGGATGAGGTGGAGCACAATTTTATTTGGGAACACATCCAGAGTTTCTCGGAACAGGCACATGGAGCTTGGCTGGGAATCAGCGTGAAAGGTCCAGTGACGCAGACCGTCTCCTCAGGCTCTCTCCTGCACAGCACACTTCTTTTTAACATGTTTAATATGGGGTGCCAATTGCAAAAGCAATACATTAAAATCATTTATAGTCCAATCTAAATAAAACAACCAGCTCTAAACATCCATCCTTCCATTACGTCCACCACTTATTCCTCAGCAAGGTCACAGTGAGCTGCTTTTATTTTGGTAGGTTACTTCCCTTTTTCAGGGCGTGTTAGCTTAATATTTAGTTTAAATCTGCAACGCTGACATTTCACTTTTTAACTGTGACAATATTTAAGTTTGATGTTTCCCAGAGAATGTTTTGTTCAACATTGTTGAAACCAGGCCTTTAATAATGAAGTTTGTTTTTACAGTGGATTATAATGCTTTGAGTTTAACCTCATACGTATAAATCAGATCCAATCGTTCTGAATGTAGCTTTACTGATTTAGATTTGATTTTTAACATTTTGGTTTAAATCAGGCACCAGACTGAATTTTCAGACATAGCCTAAACCTTTGACTGGTACTGCAGATGTATTTAGATGTTATGTTTCTATTTCATTTGAAAAGTTTAATGACACTTATTTTGATTTCATTCTTAATCTTTGCATTGAGCATTGCTATTTGGGTTAAAATACAGTTAACTAACTTATACAGTCTGCACCCCAGACATAGACTAGGAGCAGGGACCTCTGGTCCTGGTGAGCCACCGTCCAGCACGTTTTAGAGGTTTCCCTGCTGATTTTAATCAGCAGGTGATTAACAGACTTGTGCAGAGCTTGATGAGCTGCTGCACAGGTGACTGATCTGCGTTGAAGCAGGGAAACCTCTAAAACGTGTTGGACGGTGGCTCTCCAGGACCAGGGCTCCCTGCCCGTTATAGACAAATCACTTGCAGGTAAATTTCCATATTTCGTAGGTATTAGCTGATTGTAGTGTTGCATAAAGGATAATCGTTAAACGCTTCATTCAGAAGCAGTACTGATGCTTTTTACAGCAAATAAATGTAGTCAATCAAGGTGACTTTCCTGTAAAATTAGTTCCTTCTCTTATCGTTGGCTTGAAAAATGCTACGCCGGTGTGTTTGGAGAGCTTCAGTTGGGTAAACCTGCACAGCTGATGCAGAAGTCCACGTACGGGTTTTTGGCTTCCCTGATTGTGTTTGTGTTCCCGTCGCAGGTCGAGGCTTTGTGTGGAACGAAGACACGGAGATGTCGTTCACCAACTGGGAAGAACATAACGATGCTTTCTCTGTCCTCTCTATCAACTCCTGCTTCTGGATCCAAAGCAACACCGGCCTGTGGAAGCCGGACGCCTGCAGGAATCGTACACACGGAGTAATCTGCAAACGGCCTCGCAGTGAGAGCGCACAAGACACAAGTTTCACTTGACAAGATACAGATTGCACACATTTAACCTGCTCTTCTCTGTTTTATCTGCAGGTACTGAAACATCACCTGTAACGAGTAAGTGTGTTTGGGCTTCTGTTGCATTCCTTTAAGGGAAGCATTTGTACTAATAGATGTCCTTCCATCCTTCCCAGTGGATGTTAACCACCTGCCCACTCTGATTGCTGTCATGGTGACGGGGCTGGTGCTAGTCCTGGTGGTCGCTGCGGCGATCTACCTGTACCGCCGGCGAACTGTGGGCTCCCGGGGCTCCTACGAAGGGGCTCGGTACAGCCGCACCAGCTCAGGCGCCGAGCAGGTGGAGAAGAACATCCTGGTGTCTGACATGGAGCTGAACGAGCAGTCAGAGTAGCTCCACTCACCCCAAACCTCCCAACTAACCCACGACTAGATCCAAACTCGTTCTGATGCTCTTTTTTGTCTCTTTTTACACCAAAATAAAAGTATTTTTAAAGTGCTGAAGGGCTGCGTAGAACGCGGCAGATTGCATGTTGAGTCAACAGCTTTAAAAAAAACATCCAGTTTTGTAAAATTTGAGCAGATTTGGATGAATCAGATCTGCTTTTCTTCCCTAAAAACATGAATCGTGTTATTGCAGCTGACAAACATTCAGATGAGTTTTTTCCAACAGCTCCGGTTGCCAGAGTCTGTTTTTGCACACTGAATTTTCCAATCCACTTTTTACCATTTCCAAAGGAAGACTTTTAACTAAATGTGCTTTGCTTTTGTTCTTTAAAATGCAAAACGTTCCTGTTAAGAACCGCGTTGTTTTTCTAGTGTTTTCTTCACTTCTCTTCGTTACCGTGTCAGTATTAATCAGAACTGGAAACTTTTAGCATATTTTTTCTTGGATTTGTCTTTTTCTGTGCAGCTGTAAGACTGTTAGTTACTGTGTGTGTGCGTGTGTGTGTGTGTGTGTGTGTGTGTGTTTTATGAGCCTGCCTCTCTCCTCTCTGATCTGACATGTCAGCAGAAGTTTGTCGGGCGAGGAGGACGATGGGAGCGTGTTAGAAGTGAAAGGGATCGTTGACCTCAAACTGTCTGAGGGCATAAACTATAATTATGCACATAAGTATAGAACTTTATATTGAAGCTGGCCTTTAAATAGACTCCATTGTCTTTTTTAGTGCAGCAGGACTGAGGGGGGTTTTTGTTGCATGATCCAAATTTGAGCCACCAGAACTCGATGGTATACACGTCTGCACTTTTGATGTTTGTTTTATTTTCATTCCATGGTGTCTTTTGTTTTAGTTTAAGCATTTCTCCTCTGTGATTCCTAACTTGTGTTCCTCTTGGCTCTCTGTGCCGCTATCTGGATCTGATTCAGCAGCTTTTAGAGCATAGTATGAGTCTGCATGAGCCATAAAAGTTGGGTTTGTAACTAGATATCTGCCTGAGCTGTCGTTTTATAACCTGGAGTTGATTTGGCTTCCCTCTTTTTGCCTTTTTAAAATGCATGTTTTGTTAAGCGGTTTATTTTGTTAATGAATCAAAGGTATCCTACTTTATCGCAATATTTACCAACACTTGAACTCCTCTCTCCCTGAAGAGGGGAACGTTCGACACAGCCGTGTGAATATAATCCAGAGCCAAATTCAGTTTTTGCCTTTCTTTATTGTTGTATCTGTGAGCTAATTTACCTCCTGAAACGTTTGACCTTTCTCCCTCAGCACCTCCTTCGGAGGTGATTTCTCTCTCCTCGCTTGCGGGAATGCTTTGGAGCCATTTGAGTCTGAAGACTTTGGTGTTTCTTTGAGCAGATGTGAAAAAAGAAAGAAACACAAGGATGGAGGGGGAAGGGAGGAGGTGTGTGTGTGTGTGTGTGTGTGTGTGTGTGTGTGTGTGTGTGTGTGTGTGTGTGTGTGTGTGTGTGTGTGTGTGTGTGTGTGTGTGTGTGTGTGTGTGTGTGTGTGTCAGTCTCCAGCTGTGGAATGCAGAGTCGGTGAGAAGAGCTCAGCAGCACGTCTGAAACCAATCAGAGGAGAGCGTAGGAACACGAAGGGTCAGAATGAAGCAAAAGCAAGGAGGAGGAGAAAAGGAGGAAAAGGGAAGAGGCATGGGGAGGAGTCAAGGATGAAGGTAGAGAAAGGGGAGCTTTAAGGAGATGGTGTGCCCTCTGCTGGTAGCTTTCTGTCCTGGCTTCTGCTCATGGGACTGATCTGCTCTCCCTGTGAAGATACCTGAAGGAGCTGTTTTAAATCGTGGAACATCCTGGTGTCCTTTTCATATGAAAAGAATAAATTCTATGTTTTCAAAGCTGCCGTGTTCACATGGATCCTTGCTGACTCATAAATAAGGTCTGGTCTGTGACGGGAAAACTTAGCGGACCGTTTTATTCTGACTTTAAAGTTTATATTATTAGACCTTTAGGGTTGGGTTAAAGGTATTTTTTAAAAGTGTTTGAGTCTTAGGATGATGTTGTTATGACTTTACATGACATCAACAAGATAAAAAGTAAACAGGACTTTCAAAGTCAAAAATGACTAAATAAGTCCTAATTTAGAAATGGTTCTAATTATAATGAAATAAAAAGTTAAAGATTGAGTTCAAAAAGTCATTGCTGCAGTTTAAAACATATTGTTGAATAAATTAACTGATTTCAATGGAAAAGTAGTTTGATATTAAAAGTTAGAAATCTGAGATTAAAAGTGATGATGTTCAGACATGAACATGTGTGGAACGTTGGGATGACGTTAAACTCAGAGTTGACAAGAAACAGAATAAACAAGTTTAGTGATAAATGTTAGATAATGTTAGTCTTTGTTTAAATATAGAAGCTAAAGTTATGAGATCAAAGCTAAATGAGACTTTAAAGAGACACTATGCAACTTTTTCTCATTTTAAAATCGTTTTCTTGAGCCGGTAGGTGCTAGCCTGAACAGCCAGAACCATGCATCCATGTGGGAAGCATTGGGCCTGGGAACTCTTCTATTCAAATAACCCCGCCCCCTAATGATTCTAACCAAGCCAATCAGTGCTGAGCAGCGTACGCCGCACACCACAACGCTCAGTTCCTGACCCTAGCCCTCTTTCATCTGTTCTAAATGACTAGGACATGTCTTTAGAACCACAACAAGTAGAAGCACTAAACGCCCTTCTGATGAAGAGAGATGCTTTTGCCGTCGCCAGACTCCATTTTTGACTACAGCTAAAAAACTACAGCGTCACACGACACAGTCAACATTTCCGTCTTTTTTCTGATTGGTTATTTTTGAGCTGCCTGGTCCCGCCCCTCATGTGCCTCTCTAGCTGTGAGTTACCAGACTAGTTCTCTGTGCAGAATTAAACAGAGGATGAGTCTGGCAGGCCAGGCTAGGTGTGTGCTAAAATGACCCTTCTACAGGGTCAATACAAGTTCACCCAGCCCATGCCGCCCAGTGGCAAGAATATTGCAATTGCAACTTCAGAGTTGCCGGTCCGGTCTGTTGGACTTAGAAAAGGCAGAGCGGACATGACTGGCACTGCAGTCAGCTTCCAGCACATTGCTGCATGTTTTATATCATGAACACATCTGTGCTTAATTTAGTGATGAACAACCCCTGTAGACCCTCTCCTTTAAGCCCCATGAGATGTCTAAGCTGCAGCTGTTACACACCTGCTTAGACTCTATCAAGACCTGGATGGTGGGAGCTTTCTTCAGCTGAATGAAGATAAGACTGAGATCCTCATCTGTGCCCCAGACAAGATGGTTCCAAAAGTCAGAGACTCTCTTGGTCAGCTTGCTTCCCACACCAAACCTTCTGTCAGGAATCTTGGCGTGACCTTTGACCCAGCTCTCACCCTGGATTCTCATGTCAGTTCTCTTGTTGGCTCTTCCTTCTTCCATCTCAGGAACATTGCTAAGCTGAGTCCCATTCTGTCCCGCTCTGAACTTGAGACAGTTGTCCACACCTTCATCTCCTCACGCTTAGACTACTGTAACTCTCTTTTCACGTGTCTGAGCAGAACCTCCCTGAACCGTCTACAGGTGGTTCAGAACGCCTGTGCTCGGCTTCTGACCAAGTCCTCCAAACACACCCACATCACCCCGCTTCTCCTCCAGCTTCACTGGCTGCCAGTCAACTTCAGGGTTCATTTCAAGATCCTGGTTCTGGTCTATAGGGCCTTACATGGACAAGCACCATCTTACATTGGTGATCTTCTTAGACCCTACACCCCCAGCAGGTCCCTGAGGTCCAGTGATCAAAGCCTACTGGTTGTGCAGCACCAGGCTAAAGACCAAAGTAGGGATGCACCGATGGATCGGCATTTGATCGTAATCGGCCGATAGCGTCCCTATCGGTTTTGATCGGAGTTTTCAAAATAGATCAAAGCAGACCGATCAGGTAGGGTTGTCACGGTAACCGGTGTAGCGGTAAATCCTGGTTAAAAAAAAAAAAGTTGACAATAATAATAACCGTCTTGTTTTTAAAAAAACTATATTATCTCGGTGGGTTACCGTGGCTGCGGTGTAGGCGCGGTGACCCTTACCAGCCACCGTATCATCTGCTGAAGTTGCCGGCGGCACATGCGCGCTTTGTTGTTTACAACCAAAATGTTCTTGAAGCTAAAGCTGAAATAATGGCCAAAGGAGGAGACGGCAGCGCTCAGGAGGACATTTATTATCCCTCAAAGAAGACAAAGTGGGAAGTACGGGCGTTTTTTGGATATTTGAAAAATGCCGAGGGACAGTTGATAGAAGACGGCTATCCTGTTTGCAGCACGTGCAGAAAAAGTGTCTGTGAAAGGCAGCAACGCTTCAAATCTCATGACACATCTGCGTGACCATCACCCACAACTCTACAGTCAACGCAAGGCAAGCTAACTTTAGCGTTTTAGCTAAAATGCGTGATCTGAGGATTTGGGTTGAGGGAGAATGCAACGAGTTGCTATATAAAGCAGCCGCAGCGCCGCTACCTGCATATAAACCGTGTCGCGGACACCCCCATGTTGAAATGACGCTATGCATTACGGGGCTCCCAGGGATAGATAAGAGTTGGTCTCTCTCCGAGAATAATTATGAATTTAACAATGATTACTGCCTGATGACATTTTCCCACATCTGCAAAGCTCACTGGAAGGACACAAACCGAGGACGATATTTTCCTGATATAGGGTTTATTACTCAAGTAAGGGTAAAAAAGTATCTGATTAGAAGGCTACTTGAGTACTGAGTATCATCTGATCTAATATTTTTAAAATGATGACATCAAACAGACAAAAAATAAGAAGTTATGGGCAAATATTGGTATTTTAAAGACTAAAGGGGAAAAATTTAAACAAATAAACAACATAATTACAAAACAACACATTTTAGGCAAAATTTAGACACAAACTGAGGACAATATTTCCTGACATACAGGGTTTATTTAATTGTGTGAAAATGTAGCACGTTTAAAAAAATACCGCGATAATACCGAAAACCGTGGTAATTTTGGTCACAATAACCATGAGGTTAAATTTTCACACCGTGACAACCCTAATACAGACCATTTTAGATTAGGTTACATTTCCTTTATTCCCAGATTATGTAGTTTGTAGCACTCATTATAATGTAGAAAATTTCTGGCCAATCCACGTGATCGGTATCGGTGATCAGCATTCTTTGATATCGGTATCGGTGATCGGCAGCAAAAAACCTGATCGGTGCATCCCTAGACCAAAGGTGACAGATCATTTGCTGCTGTGGCCCCCAGACTCTGGACCTCTCTCCCCCTGAGCCTGAGATCAGTGGACTCAGTGGTCTCCTTTAAAAAACAGCTGAAAACTCACCTGTTCAAGCTGGTGTAGCGACATGAATGGCCTCATATTTGTGACCCAAAGGTCACACTTTTCCAGCTGGGTCGAGCTGTAACTTTTGTTCCACAGACTATCCATCAGGAGCCGGGAAGTCTGCTAAACACCATCTTTATCTGGCTGCTGTTCCGTCCCAAGATGAAGGACACTTCAGTAATGTGTGATCAGTAACTAGAAGGTCATTTGCACGTGGACACCTCATGCAGAACTGAATCCAGGGTAAAGTTAACTTGCTCTCACATGTCTTTGTGCCATAACAAAAAGCTTTCTGACGCTGAGAGGGTGTGTTCTGAGGTTTTGTTAAAACCAAATCTCCGCAGCTCAAGTTCAGTTCTTGAACCAAGCACATACTCTCCGTGGTGACGAGAGTTATCCCAGAGGACGAGGGTCGGCCGCCTAAGCCTCTACTAAGCTGTTCTGTCATGCCGATAGAATTGCTCCGAATAAACGCACCTGTAACCAGCTGACGCAAACTCCTTCAGAGTTATTGATTTTGAGACGCAAATAGTTTCATCAGTCGTGTGACCCAGATGACATCTCAGGACCGATTTGAGTCACACTGAGGTCCCTCTACCAACCTCGTGCCCGGAGTAAACCATCTCCACCTAACATCTCAGATCCACAGAGGGTCTCCTGAACTGGGTGAGGTAGGCACTTCCTGACAGATGGCGTCTGATGCTGTTCTCTCTAAGAAACCATAAGTTAGCTGCAAAACAACTTTCCACCCAGAACGTGTTTCTCTCTCTGAAAGAAATCTTCTGAGATTCACTCACGCATCAAACCTCGCATTCCATTTTAGTTTTCCATTCAGACACAGGTTTGCTTTTAATAACAAGTTTGAATATCAAAGCTGTCACAAATTGTCATTTTTAAATTGTCATCTTTAAAATGGTTAGTAATAAATTCTTAACTTTTAAGCCTGACTCTTCTTTGAAATGAAACACAGAAAGGTGTATATTTGGTTATTGAATAAGCAAAGAATCCATTAAGTCTTCTGTTTAATAAATAAACTTTTGCTGTAAAATTTAATTATCTTAAATTAAAAATTAATCTTTGGATTAAAATATAGACCAAGACAGTTGGTGTATGATCTTCTATCAATTGTATTAATATCCTAGATATTTATGTGTAATATAAGTCCGTATGCTGATGTTTCTGATCTTTTCTCAGGATCTAACCAAACTGAAGCAAACAGTGTTAAATCACAGTATGTAGATGTGACCACGCTACACTGGTTTGGGTGTGACCTTCTTCACCCTCTCCTTGTTCTGCTCTCCCTACCTGTTCCACCTTCCTCAGGATCCACTGATGTCCCTCTTTTCTATTCACTCTCTCTCTTTCTCTTCATTTTTAATCACAATTGTCCATCTATCTATCTATCTATCTATCTATCTATCTATCTATCTATCTATCTATCTATCTATCTATCTATCTATCTATCTATCTATCTATCTATCTGTCTGTCTGTCTGTCTGTCTGTC